AGAGCTCACAATCTGAACGAGAGAGAAAGAGAAGACGAAACGAATTGCCAGTCTACTAGGCAGTAGAGCTGGAAAGATACTGATTAAATTAGAGAAATTGTGCGTTCAAGTACACACCTTTTCAACAGCCGTTCGTTGGTCGGTCATCCTTAGGGTTAGAGTTCTCATAAAATTGGACTTCAGCCCCCCACTGCACCCCTGAGTTTCTTTATTGATTGTTTTGCATTTCTACTCCACCTTTCATACATGTACTTCTTTACTTTTCTTCCTTCCATTTGATTCCTCTAACAGACTTGACTCCCATTATTTCTACGACACCTATGTGGTGCCCTGATACCAGGTACCACAGTCAATTCTTTCGTCCAAAGATCAAAACGGCAAACAATTTTGAAAATTTGATTTCAAAGATCAAAATGGGTGACGTCAAATCAAAGCAAGACTAAATTTGATTCATCATTCTCATTGGTGACGTCCGACTCGAGGGATATCCCCAACCCTTTCGAGCATGTAATTTGCCTAGCTCTCCTGCGCATCTCTGGTTTACCTAAAATTCGGCTTTTTTTCAGCGTTGGTCTCCTGTTTCCTCAGTTTGCTCGCTACTTGGATCCAGCCATTATATAGCCAGCTACGGTACCTACCGTAGGCAGAGAGTTACATCGATCCGTGACAGTGTCAACAGTACCGAACACACTCAGGTTCCGCTTTACTGGCTACACTCTGTTACCGGTACCTTGCATTGGATTCTTATGACGAATACATGCACAACCGAAGATTGATCCAGCCATCGTAGCCAGTTACAGTAGAGTTCATCGATCAGTGACAGTGGCAACAGTACCGAACACACTCAGGTTCCGCTTTGTTCGCTGCACTCCGTTACCTCGCATTGGATCCTTATGACGAATACATGCACAAAAACCGTCTATTGTTAATCCAGCCATTGTAGTCCACTACCGTACAGTTACATCGGCGACAGTGTCAACAGTACCGACACACTCAGGTTCCGCTTTGCAGGCTACACTCCGTTGCCGGTATCTTGCATTGGATCCTTATGACGATAGACTACATGCACAACCGAACATTATGAATCCACCCTTGTAGCCGGCTGCGGTATAGCTACATCGACGGCAGTGGCAACAGTACCGAAAGTTCGGCTTTGCTCGCTACGGTTACCGTACCTCGCATTGGATCCTTATGACGAATACATTGCACAACCGAAGATTGTCAATCCAGCCATTGTAGCCAGTTACCGTAGAGTTACATCAATCGGTGACAGTGGCAACAGTACGAACACACTCAGGTTCCGTTTTACTGGCTAACTCCGTTACCGGTACCTTGCATTGGATCCTTATGACGAATACATGCACAACCGAGATTTCCAATCCAGCCATCGTAGCCAGCTATCGTAGAGTTCATCGATCGGTGACAGTGGCAACAGTACCGAACACACTCAAGGTTCGACTTTTGCTCGCTGCACTCGGTTACCTGCATTGGATCTTATGACGAATACATGCACAAACCGAATATTGTTAATCTCAGCCATTCTAGCCAGTCTAGCCGTATAGCTAGTGCGAACAGTACTTGACTTGGCATACAGGAAAATGGCACCGACACAGGAATCACCACCAAAACAGTAAAAATAACAAGAAGGGATGAATCCGGTAGGAGGATCCATCTCTTGTGTGTTGTCGAGTAGCTATCCTTGCTCCTGTTCCCTTTCAATGAGTCGACGACGATCCGTTCATGCTGTTGGTAGGGCTGAGTTAACAGTTTCCTCCGTACACATACCTCCGTACGTCTGTAGCCTCTCTTCCTCGTGCTATTCGGAGCGATCAATCATTCGTTGGACCCGACAATGGTAATTCATCGGCCGTCAGCAGTACAGCAGAGAAAACAACAAATAGATATGAGTTTTGTTTCTGTGCTCAACTGCAGACGACCGGAGACTATCCATTGTTTTTCAATTGCACCAACTTGGCCGTCATGGGCCGAGAACTGACTGCCATCCCACGGTCCATGGATTCAATGAGGGAGGCTTTCGAATCTGTACGAGAAGGACGGCTTGAGTGAGGCTTTATAGTAGAGATAATAGAGTGCGATCGATTCGATTCGAATTATTAAAACAACTCACCTGTTGACGGCCGAGATCTGACTGCCTGCCATGGTCCATAGAAATGAATGAGGGTGGCTTTCGAATCTACACCTTCAAAAAACACTCTTGATAATAGCTTACCTCATTGCGATCCATCGATTGATCGTTCAACACCATTCTTGTTGGCCGAGCTTGGATTTCTCTCTGTTTGCCATAGCAATTCAATGAGGGAGAGAAGTCAGTGCTGCACCTTCAACAATGGAACTTGAACGTACGGTACTGTACGGTACATGTGCAGGCAATCAGTTTATCCTTAACCTTAGTAACTACAATGGTTCTTTTATCCACGAATCGATCTAAATCTTTCCAAAGGGAATTTGTTACTTAACGATACACATAACGTTGATTCTGCAACTGAAGTGCGGTACTCTATTTACACAGTAAACGCCGGCAAATCGATTTGGGAGTGCAACTGAGGGGGAAACCAAAAGGAGGGTGGTCTGGGATCTGGGAGACCAAATACGACTGTAGAAGGAACATCATGATCGCTACTCATACCGGTACCGGCGGGCTCCATGTCGAGGCAAAGGGCTGCGCTAATCAGCCATGTCAAGGCATCGTTCAGTCCACGTCTAAGAAGCCCCATATGACCAACCACTAGGATCCAGTAGAAAGGTGGATATCAATTCTATTGATTAGTCAACGATTTTGGATGCACCTAAGATTCAGGGCTTGTTGGTCCTGAAAAGGTACCGTACATGTAGTACCGGAACACTGTGCATGGAAGTGGCATTGGAGAGTACTGCTTTTCCACACTAAAAAATTCAAAAAGATTTCCCGAAACAGGCCGCTCACCATTCTTTGGCTGCACTTCCTCCCACCTGTCACCACATCACAATAACGGCACAACAACATGAAAATGGTGGAGAGGCCGATCGCTACTGGTACGATACCTCTACTTTTACGATAAGGTAAGTCCTATTATCAAAGTGTGTTATTATTGAAGGCGCAAGCACTGACTTCTCTCCTCATTGAATTGCTATGTAAACAGGAGGAAATCCAAGCTTGGCCGACAAGAGTGGTATACGTATACCGGTAGGAGGAGTCTTTATCCAATCGGCGGTCCATTGAATCGATTCGAGGTAAGCCTATTATCAAGAGTGTTATTGAAGGTACAGCGCTGAGTTCTCTCCTCATTGGATTTCTATGGTATTCAGGAGATAAATCCGAGCTCGGCCGTCACAGGTGAGTAGTTCTTTAATTATTCGAGTCGATTTTTCGCACCTCTATTATCCAAGCCTCCTCAAGCCGGTCCGGTGCAGATTCGAAAGCCATCCCTCATTGAATCCTATGGACCATGGATGGCAGTCAGTTCTCGGCCCATGCTGGCCAAGTTGGTGCAATTGAAAAACAAGAGTAAGTCTCCGGTCGTCTGCTGTTGAGCACAGAAAACAAAAACTCATATCTATTTGTTGTTTTCTCTGCTGCACTGCCGACGGCCGAGGAAATCCCATTGTCGAGGTCGAACGAACGAACGGTCGTCCGGATAACAACAAGAGGAGAGCTCGCTCGGAGAGAGGAGGTTCTGTTAACCCAGCCTACCAACAGTCTGAACGGTGGAGATCGTCGTCGAGTCATTGAAAGGCAACAAGAGGAGGCTACGCGACAACACACACAAGAGAGTGGATCCTACTACTGGATTCATCCCTCCAGTGTTATTTCCTAGTGCTTTGGTGGTGATTCCTGTGTCGGTACCCATTTTCCTGTATGCACCAAGTCAGTTTCGAGATTTGGCTAAGTGACGACGACTTGGTGGTTTCGTACGAAAGAAATAGCTAGCTAGTAAGATAATAGAACGCCGATTACCAACCAGATAGACCACACGATTTCATTAGATATTGACCTTACTAGCATAAGCAATAGGCCATGATTCCAGCTCTCTTCTTTCCTTGATATCCTACCCTGGCCCACAGAACTGGACCAGAAGGTCCATATTTTGACCTTCCTCAAGATCTTGTGTAAGATGAGACCAAGTCTCCAGCATTTTTTGACCTAGTGCTGTTTGCCCCTGATCTTGACCAAAGGTCATATCAGGCCTCTTAGACGCAGGCTTTCTTTCTTGCGTAGAGCTAGGTGGTCTTCTTGGAGGCAGATTGGGGCCCACGAGGTCAAGGGATAGCACGAAGTAATTTCGTCTCCATGTCATTGCGACGTTGGGTTAAGTGCGGAACCAAACTGTATTGATCGCTGCCGTCCTTTCTAAAAGTAGTAGACATCGAAGGGGTCCCCACCCTTTCGTCTCTGCTGGTATCATACCGGTACCACGAGCGCAGCTTGAGATTGAATCATTCGTCCAAGCAAGCAAAAACCGGAACACGGCCATGTGGGATTCGAGACATTCGTCTAGCTAGCATCGAGTGGAAAAGGGGAGACGGCATCTATCACTCCTCAATCAGAGACTAATTGCTCGAGAAAGATCTGTAACCAGAGATCTAGGGGATTTGGCGTAGCTGACATAGAAAGGACATGTATAAGGACATCAGAACTTGCATCGAACCAAGGAATCCATTGTACGATTTCCCCGCATCTTTCCGATTCACGGTTGCCAAATGACGGCTGCTCTGCCAAAATATCTATCACTCAAGTCGTCGATCATCCCTCATAAAAAGCAAAAGCCATCAGCTCGAACGCAGGTTTTCACTGGCGCAGACCTACATAGCTAGCGGCTAGTTCGTTGTCCTGAACCGTTCACAGCATGGTGTCATCCTTCCTAACATCGATCCTCCGTTGCTTGGTCGACCTTGTAGTTCAACCGTTTCGGTGTTTGCTAGAGCTGTATCAGGTTTGTTTACGACGGTACCACTGCAGATCCGCTTCAACTCCCGATACATCAGGATTCTGTGCCGGCTACATGGATGGCGGCTATGATGATTTGGAGGCCTCTGCTACTACATGTAGCATTGACAGCGAATCGACTGATCAAGACGATTCCGAAGACGATACCATTTACAATACCTTTGTGTGGGAGTTCCTGTCGGATGCATTGAAGCAACAAACGAATCGTCGTTGCCTCACCTTGACCAACTTTGTGGATCGTTCGCACGGTGCTCGTGATGCTTTGGCATTGAGCCAGCTACTAGGTATGGTTGCTCAGCCATCGTGGCGTTCCATTCACTTTGAGGATGTCGTTCCCGGTCATCGGTACCGTCGTTGGCTGTTCAAAAAGACGGGTGTGTATCGGTATATTTTGAGGCGATCACCGCACACGGCTGCTATTCCCCCAGTGACATTTTACACTCGGGTGGAAGTGGATACGACAGCCATGACGCCAAAAGCTATTACTTCCTTGCTACGCGAACTCAAGAAGGATCTGGATGTCAAGTCAGTCTCGATTCGAGGCAAGCTGAAGCCACGAGATGCCGAGTCCGTAGCCATTGCGTTGGTGTCGTTGCTGAATGATCCACGAGGATGGCAAACAGTAGAGTTCCAAGTGGACATGACGTCGCCAGCATCAGACGACTCTTCTTCTCGACAGCGGCAAGTGCAATCGTTGCGAGAAGCTCAATTGATTGAAAAGGTCTGCAAACGAGCCCTTCAAAAAGTGGCTGCGGAACGGTACATTACGTTGGAAGTACTATGAACCAATAGTTGGCATTACCTGAACTAAAAGTTAAACCTAGACATGCCGTAGCATATACTGTGGTGCCTTCTGTCAGCGTCGCGTTGCGTTTTGGATTGCATCAACCCTTCGTCTGGGAGTATTTATTGTCGTAGTGAGATGCAGATGGTGGCCTTAGTTGCCTGTAGTAATCAGTAGCTAGCTAGCTAGCTAGCTAGCCCCTATCTGAAGTGGTAAACGTCTTTCACTTTATATCTATCACATGCTAAAGCAGAAGCGAGCTCTACCACAATGAAAACATATACCAAACATTTGAACCTAGCAATCCAAGCAATGAAAGCATTCACCATACCATGTGCTTCAGAATTCTCTATATCTAGCTTTTCTTCCACCAGCTGGGCCTCGCAAAGTTATAAAAAGATCCACCATAGGTCGAGGTAGAAGTTGACGAATATGCAAGGCTGCTTTCAGACGACTCGTCACTTGGGTGCGATGCGCAGGATGCAGATCCACTTGTTTCAGGTTCATAAGATCCTAGTCGTAGTGATGGAAGAGCGTCGTGGAGGAGGAGGAGGACAAAGAGAAAAGAAGCGCGACTGAATGAGACACATACTTGTAATACGTGAAGTTGGGCAGCAAACTACGGTCCAGGCCTCTCATTCGCGGAACAGTCAGTAACAGCGTAAAGGCGCCGCAGAAGCAAGTCCAGGGTACCGCTGCTCGTCGTAGTAGTCGAATGTGTTTGGCCAGAAGACTCGTCGCTTCGGCATTCCGCAGAGGTTTCAACAGATTCCTCACCCTTGGACCACCCACTCAGGGATCGACTGCTGACGCTAGAGTCGCTACTGATATCGCTCCATTCAAGTTCGGGGGCTTCATCACTGGCTACATCGATCTCTTTGCTTGCGGGTGCTGTTTCCTCTGGCGAGGGCGCATCATCTTCAGGATACAACCGCTTGTGAAGGTTGACATAGGCCGGGAGAAAGCCTAGAGTAACCTTCCAGAGGAGATCAGTGTTGAGGCGAAGCGATGAAAGGTTAGTTCCTAGCGTACTAGTAGGTCGATTCATTGTACAGGATCAAGTGGCTGGCTGGATGACAATATTATGCATCAAACGAAGCAGCAAACTGAGCAAATCACTATCGGTGCTGGTACCTTGTGGCTTCCGAGAGTGTTCCGTGTTTGCCCGTTCCTGTTCCCAATCAACACAACGGTAGGCATCGCACAAGTTTTCGATCTCGTCCTCTCACGAAAGCGATCCTTGTTGATGCGCAGGCGCGACATTCGCCGTGGAAGATACCGTGGAAGCTGCCGTGGAAACAGCTCAAGCACAACATGTCCTTCATGCATGGCTGGTTTCACCACTTCGTCTCTGGTGATACCGGTTCCACAATACCTTCTTAGATGCCTCTGCTATCATTGTTGTTTCTAGCTGCCTTTGTCTCGTACGGTAGCCAGAGACCTCTCGATGTACTTCTTCTGCTTCATCGATAGCGAATCAATTCTGACTCTAACCTCCATTGATATCGATACCAGAAAGAAGTTAGACGACCACAGAATCAAGCAAAGAGGCTCTCTGGCGGTTCTCCGTACCCAATTCAACTCCTCATCCATGCATGACACGTCTGTTGGTCTCTTCCTGGACCAGTTACAATGGAGGATGCGTCGAAGACTATGACATTCGAAATGGAGAGCCAGGCCATCCTTGTACCTGCTGTCAAAGGAGAGTTTCGATTATACCGTACCGGTACAGTCGTACCGGTACCAGTACCTCGTCAACTCAATCAACCAACTCAATCAACCCCAGTAGTAGAGGAGGTGCGCGCCTTTGGCATCTTTCCACCCGAGTGATGCCTCGCCACTTGAACACAAAAGTCACATTTGTATCGCACCCGGCTATTTCAATCATTATCTCGAACGTTTTGGAAGCAACTACACCTGTGTCCTTTCCAGCCACGATGAGAGGAAGCCAACGCACCAACGCCCTCGGCCGCAACTTTGGTGCTCTTGTGCGCGACGAAAGCGACTACGACGACGTTGTCATGGATGGACGTGAAAGACGATGACATTGCCAAGTTCACGGGTCCAAACATATCGAAGTGATATTTGAAAAAGGGCAAATCGCAAGTTTGCCCGCCTCAACTATTCCAGTGTCAAAGCAATTAGAGTTTACCGCAGATTGTGAGGCTCTTTAAAAAAGATTTCTGAACATCCCAGCCCTATTGCAAGCGTTGCCCGGTCATTTTTTGGTGGGATGAATTTCCATGGATGCATGGATTGGTGATTGGTGATTGTTGGATGTAAAGAAACGTCACTATGTACGTATACCGGTAGATAGATTGCTTACTCATCGGTAGTTTCCTCTGTGTCTGCTGGTTGGGATTTCTTTTCGGGGTCCAGAATGGCGGAAAACTTTGTGGTAAAAGTGAGTGATTCACCGTTTTTCCATCCCTTTGCCATGTCCGCGACATCTTCCTGTACTTCAATTTCTCCATCCGAACCGGGCAATGCCTTGAGTCCGTATGCCTCCACTCCGGCTTCGACAGTTTTGATGACAGCTTCTTGCACGGCAAAGGTTGTGATCTGGGGTTGTGCATACGGGGGAATTTGACCCTGTTTTTGGAGAATAAAATGTAAATAAAATCATTTGCAGTTGAAAGGAGTGAGCAAAGCCAACTCGTGTTATGCATCTACTAGCTAGCATAGCCTTACCTTTCTGAACCCTGGGAAATTTGCCTTTTTGGCGGCATCCTTGAGAATCTGGAGCAAAAAGCAAAACAGCGTTGTTTTTAAAGAATGAAGATTAGCAAGGTCCTTGAAAAGAAAGAAATTGCACAGCATTGTTGTCAGACCAACTTGCCTGAGTTCTGATTTCCTTTATCAGACCTGCTTCAGCTACTGAAAGCAACCAGAAATCATAGACTGCCCCTTCATCGCTCTTTAGCTTGCTGTTCTCGCCCTGGTAGGAAAAATAGCAAGAATTGAAAAATGAAGGTTTTCCAAGTTAGCTAAAAAAAAATTCTTGTTTTTCTTACATTTTTCTTTGCTTACCAAGTTTTTCATTCGGCTTCCTTCCATGGAGCTCAAGGCAGTCAGTTCTTCGCCTCCTTCAGGTTCTGGCTTGAGTTCTAGTTCCTCTGCCATGAAGAGTTTTTGATTTTGATTGGACCGTCTTCCCACAATAGAAGGCTGCTTGCAGTTGCACTTGTCTGATGGAAGAAGGAAGCCATTGCAGCCCGCAAACAGAAAACTAGCTAACAGTACACAAACTTTCATCATCATGGTTGGGGTCTTCAAGTTCTGCAGAAATAATAATGAGCTTGCAACTGAAAATGGAACCAGCGCATTGGTGAAACCTCAGACCAATGATTGGATTTCATTCTGTGGCGCACAATCAGCCGAGGATCCATCTTGCTTGGTGTCAGAGATCAGAGACCAAAAACAAAATAAATGAGAGGAGAGGAACGTCAGTCACTGACGTCAGTTAACCTTATTTCGACATTATCGAACCAGAAATCGATCAATCAATTTGTCAATTCGAATGTCTCGATTAAAGACAATCGACTTGATCGACCCAATCCACGCCAGATCTTTTTTGCCAGGTCCTGCGGCTACCAGATCCTCTGGGTTTGGTCGTTGCTCTTGACGACGAGACACGATCACGCATCCACGAGGTCACATACATACTGCATCGACCACCAACTACCTACTGTACGGTCAAAGGTTACCCCCTCTTTATCTAGCTAGAAAGTATCACCACGGTTGCCATTGATAAGCAGGAAGCAAACAATAACGTAAGGCAACAAAACGCCATGGAGAAATCGTACGCCGCACTGAATCCCTTTCTCGTGGGCAACTCGACATCGGAAATACTCGACGGGATTGACGACGATTCCTCCAAAGAAGACGAAGATCCTCTCAGCATGTCTTCTTCTTTCAATGACTATTCCAGCGATGAAGAAGATTGGGACGAAGTGGGAAGCATCAGCAAGGACAAGGACGTGACGACGACGACGACGACGACCGCACAAGATAAACGTCGTTCGATTTATAAGTCGATTCAAGCCCACATGCCATTTGAATATCGAGGAGCCTTTACCGTGTCGGACAATTGGGAGAACAAGAGTCAGGCGTTCTACTATGCACACAAGGCCATTATTTTCAAGCTCGTCTTTGGATTGTGCTTGTTCATTATGATGGGAGGAATCACACTCCACGCGTCGCAAGACGTCCCTCATTCCAATGATTACTTGCGTACTAGCAGTCAAGATGAAGACTTGGAAATTGCCGCATTTGAAATTGAAGGCGAACCCATCAACGAAGTAGTTCAGACCATTCCTGAAAAGGGAGATTTGCATCTAGCCCTCAACGTGCCCGACACTACTACCTCCACTACGAAAGAGCAAGAGGACAAGACTGACACTGACAAGGTCGAGAAGGAGGGTGACACTGACAATCACAGTAGTAGTAGCCGTGGCAATGACAAGTCGGAACAAGCATCGTCCAAGGAGGAAGACGCTCTTCCCGTGGGTTGGAAATCGTACGTGGAAGATCGGACCGGCAGGACCTACTATTACAACACCAAGGACAAGACGACTACGTGGACCAGGCCAACCGAGCCTGTGCCTGTTTCCAGTGAAGTGGTTGCAGAGGGTGGTGCCTCTGAAAGTTCCTTATTAAGAGGCGGTACTAGTAAAAGCACTAGTCGCAATGGTGATGATCATACTAGCAAAGCCAGCAAGCAAGATCAGAATGCTAGGAAAGAAGGTCCTTTGCCTGATGGATGGGAGGAATATGTGGATGATAAGAGGGGAAGAACTTACTACTATAACACCAAGGATAAGACGACAACGTGGACTCGACCAAAACAGGAAGATTCCAGCAGCAGCAGCTCATCGGATTCGGGAGACGGCGAACGATCATGACCATGCATGCATGCATCTATCTCCCACCAAGACTGGCCTTGCCTTGGTGTCCTGCTGATGTTCTCTCGAAAAAGCCAGGGCTGAACCCAAGACCTTTCGATTCGACGTTCTGCTTTGACCTTGATGCCACGATGGCAACAATTTACACACACGCAAAAGCTTGCCCTCTTCTAGGTTTCCCCTTTTGCGCTTCGATCCCTTTCTATAGAGCAATTGCTTACTTACTCTTACCTCTACTAGCTAGAATGCTGTCATACTGTACTTCTATACTTCTTTGCATAATGTGCTTCCGAGACAGGTTGATTCGATTCGGCAACAGCTCTTGGGAGTGATGAAAGAAAAAAGGTCAATCCGTGAGGTTTCCTCATGACTTAATTTTGGGGGTTTTCAAAGGGGGTTAGATGAAACATTTTTTGGCAAGGCTTTCCTATACTAAATCAGTACAAGAAGCCTTTTTTGCAGACTTCATCCGGTGGCTTTTCAGCATGTTGGCACAACCATGGTAAAGCGAGCCTATTGATGCTTACACAGCTTCAAGTAGCTTTGACAAATGGCACAAGATCAATGGCTGAAAAAGCTACTAAAAGAAAATGATTGGAGATTTATGGAGCATTATTTGCACATCATCGCCTCGCCTCCCCTCGCCCTTGGCATCGATATCATCAGCCCTACCTTTGCCCATCATCCCACCAGTACTAGTACCAATATGCAGCAGATCCTTTGCCTACCATGGTGCTTTGTTGCTCGGGTGGTTGCCGCTCCTTTAACTAACATGGTTGTCAATAAAATTTGGTTGAGTGTTGTGGACCATTCTTTGTGCATGCATGTTACCCGTTGAAAGATTGATAACAGTGGACTTGTGGCAGATCCTGGTTACCTGGTACGTATGATAGGAGTATCCTTGCACCTCTACGGTACCGGTACTATGATCCTCACTGAAGCGGAACGTCTCTGATGCAGAAGTGAAAATCATACGGTACCATCTTGGAATCGAATCATACACGTACTGTCTTGGGAAGATTTTCTTTTCTTGGCCCGACAGTAAAGTTGGCGAATTTTGAAGAGAATGGCAAGTCACCTGTTAGATTAGAATAGAAGAGAGAAGAGAATTCCATATCTATTTCTTATTTCTACTAGTATTCTCTTACTGCTGATGGCCAAGGATATCTTTATGGAGCCATGATGGCCGACCGGATAACAACGCTGTCGATCTTTTGCTACGCCATCTGGAACAAACGTCGTTGATTTAGTCGAGTTATTGAAAGGCAACAATCAGCCAGAGCAGGCTATACGACAACACACACACACACGCAGGTGAAAGTGGCATTTCGTATTCGATTCGATTCATCCCTCCTTTGAATTTCCTAGTGATTCGGTGGTGATTTTTGTGTGGGTACGTGTGTACCCATTTTCTGTCGCTCGTGAGTTGATGGCCTATCATTGGTGTCCGAATCCAAGCCAAGATCCTTGCACCTCTACTATCAACAAGCCAAAGCTATCCAAGCCGATCAATTGCCTACACTGCAAGCGAGCAGCGATACACATGTTTCTAGTTTTATTCAGGTAACGAATCAGTCATGCAAACAGTCTGTTGTTAGCCAGCATTTGGTTGTGTTAAACTGACTGTCTCTACAGCAGGGTTGTCCCTCTAGCTAGGTTGTTGTTGCTGTTAGTTGATCTTACTGACAAGGAGCGACGGATGGCTGCTTCTTGTTATTGATAATCGTAGCGGTGGAGCCCTGTTCTTGTTGTAGCTCCTCCTGACTGGTCTTGTGCTGACACTGTCATGTTGCCGACACTGTTGCCACTATCAGAATAGTTCGTCGTAGTAGTATGTAGTGGTCGTAGCAGCGGTAGCCGTTACGGTACCGGGGGCGTCGTTCGTTGTTGCCTGGTTGCTTGTCGCAAATGCATTGTTGCCGACAGATAAACCGCTGTTGGTAATAGTATTGGTGCCAATTGTCTGTAGCTGCCGTGGTAGTGGGTTGTTAATGGATTCCAACTGTGCAACTGTGCCATACTCGTTCACATCCACTAAAGTCTCTTTTCCAACCACTTTATTGCACAGTTTGCACCATTCATATCCTGTCCTGCGCTATCCATGCCACCCAGCCAAAATAATTGGTTCATTTGTGCTTTTTGTGAAGGATTGATGAATGTTGTGTGGCTCTTCTTGTGGAGAAATGAGCAATTATCTCACTTCAAACAACTCTACTGCTGCATTCGCCCATTTTGTACTCCTGGACAGTTGGTATTCCTACAAGGCCTACCAGGTCTGGCAATACCGGGCAATGCATGCTGTGTCAGTTGTGATCAGTAATTCCTTGCTTTGATGTGCAACAATTCCTCTTTCCTTGTGGTCAAAGAGATGATCTATGAGCACTGCTGCAAGTCCTACTCTGAGTAGCTAGTATGCTACTGGCTATTTTAAAAACCAATGACAATGCCAGCCTTGATTGATGACAGGTGTTACGGGAGCTTGAAGCCACTCTCCACTTATTTTGGCTCAGAACAGATACTTGCCTTGTGCTTGATGTTGCGGCATTGTGTTGCTTCTTCAACCGACGACTGCTTCGAGATCTCGGTATTAGTACATGGCCAATGTGCCAGTACGGACCAGTGACTGGACCAGTCCTGAAAGAATCATGAAAGAACTCCATGGAGCCTCACGCCCTTTCCCACCATTTCCTACATACATGATGATCTAGATCCAGTAGCTACGGGTATCTCGTCGCGAGGCCAAAAGGATTCGATTCGATTGATCATTCGGTACTGGTAGTAGCAGAGCATGAGTCATGATTTGATCGTCATTTCCAGTCACACCTGGTCATTCTGCATCCAAGTCACAAGAAAGCAACAGCCAAGACAAAATAAAGATCACATTTTTCTTTCATCAATTGCAGCTTGTATAATATCTATCTATTGCCATTGAGAAGAGGCATGGCCAAGATGGGATCCTCAGGCCGTGTTAATGTTTCAGTGTTGTTGGTGTGTCTGTTATCAATGACTGGACTGGTTCTAGAATTGAAATGGGGATCTCTGTCTACCTATGCATTTGCAAATGTGACTCTGAATCCCAGAGGTTTGGAATCAGTAGCTACCAGTGATGCTAGTAGTGATGCTAGTAGTACTGGTACTGCTAGTAGTAATGCCTGGCAACCCCAAAGTGGTGCAGTAGGGTGTCCTGGCAAGTCTAAAAAGCTGAGTGCTGATTTGTTCAAGTCTCAATATGGAGAAGACAAGGTGTTGCTGGAGTATTTTGGCAAACTGTGCAACGGGACTTACCTGGAAATGGGGGCTCTGAATGGCGTCCACTTGAGCAATTCCCATGTCTTTCACAAAGGCCTTGGTTGGAAGGGAATGCTGCTGGAAGCCTCGCCCAAGAACTACAAGGAGCTCCAAGAGAATAGACCCAATGAGTTGGCTTTGGTGCATGCAGGCATTTGTTCCAGTCAGTCACAGCTGCACTGGGTGGAAGGAAAATGGTCTCCCACGGGAGGATTCCTGGAATTTGCCTCACAAGAACACCAACGCAAATTCTTTACCCCGCAAGCCATACGAGATGCCAAACCTGTCACCTGCTCACCGTTGGGACAAATCATTCAAGAACGATTGGGCAATCAGGTATTCTTTGATTCTATTCCTTGGATATTGAAGGAGCTGAATTGCAAGCTCTAGAAACAATCGACTTTACTCAAGTCAGCTTTGGAATCATCATGGTCGAAGCCAGTGGATTCAACAAAATGAAAGATCAAGCCGTGCGGTCTTTACTAGACGAAAACGGATACACCTATGCTCCACAACTGGCGGCGGGACTAAAAGGAGATATTGGATCCGATTTCTTCATCAACAAGCGCTGGAAACACATTTACAAGGATCTCATCTATTCCTAACCAAAACAGAAACAAAACAAAAGAATTTCTGCAAAGCTGACTGACTGAATGAGGAGTGACAGTCCAACACTTACGTTTCCGAAAACGGAAGGCCACTGCAGAAAGGAGCTACCACCACCGTGCCGAATCGAATCTGGGGTGCTTCGGTAGCCATCTAACTGTACGCTTTACTGGCGTTTTGCTCGGCAACATTGCCGAACAGGTAATGATTATAGTTTCTATAGCCTCCTATTCTAAAGTCTCTAGGTGCCCTCTTGTCGAAGCCAGTAGCTAGTCTAGCTGAGTTCGTATGCCGAGCCTTCTAGGTTTGCTTTGCTTGTCTGCGGGCTCGTGTAGCCTGGTGTGCCGCAACCGAGCAATTTCTAGCTGGCTCGTACATGTAGTCTATGTAGATTCCTTCGATCATGGCACGGACAGCCGAATTGATCTCCACATTCGAGCGAGCCTTCCATCAAACGACGTGACCAAGCATGGGTACCAGTACTGCATGGTGTGAACTCGGGGCGAATTGTGCTCAACCAAAAGACAATATTACCATGCGAACATGGGACCAAGTATCACTGATCTCCGACTGGTTGGCATGCTGGATACAATGATACCGGGCGAACATACAGTAGCCAGTACCGTGTGGGTTGTCTCGCTCCGACTGGTCAGTCAACAAGCCGCGTTTATTGGATGTCCCAAAGGGCCACGCCCCGAAGCAGGCCGTCAGAGGCGCAAAATATAGCCATTCCTCTACAGTGCAGGCCAGGGCCTCGTCCCGAAGCAGCGGGCATTCCGTCCCAGTGAACATATCGTACATGTAGGACAAAGTGCTATGGTAGTTGCGATCAGTATGGCTTGTCTTCGACAAGGCGACGTTTATCAGATGTCCCAAAGGATCACGTCCTGAAGCAAAGACGAGCCGCCATACGGTAGACCCAATAGCCACTCGCCTACGTTGCAAGCGGCGGCCTTGTTTCGAAGCAGTTCGATCAGCTGTCGGCGCTTGCGGGCATTCCGTCGTGGTCCAGAAAGTCGTTCGTCCTGGCTGAGCCAGCTACCTAATTTGTTTACGTAGTCCAGAGAAAGCCGATCCAAAACGAATGTTACTATAGTCTATTTAGTTAGAAAGTTACTGTAGCCAAACGAGTGCCCGATTGCTTGGTTAGGTTGGCTTAGCTTAGCTTACATCAACAGCATTTCCATCTCTTTGTCTTGTTGTTGTTGTACTTGTTCTTCTTCTCGATCGTGATGCTGTCGCAGCAAGTGTGGATGATGGTGGTGTTGATGATGATGATGATGTTCTTCGTCTCCTTCTTCATCTTCATCGCTAGACGAAGAGGTATCATCAAAGGAATGCGGGAGGACATAATCATCGGGGAGCACTTTCATACTTTCGATAATAACGGGATGGACAATGGCATCCTCTCCCATGACGGCGGATCGATGAATGCGTTCAATCGTCTCAAAACCCCGTACGACCTTTGCAAAACAGGGATCGGCATCCTTGGCCAAGTCGGAGTAGTGATGATGTTGGCCACCAGGTCCATTGATGAGACTGTTGTCGCGCATGTTGACATAAAAGTCGGGTCCTCCCGGTCGTCCGGGATACCCGAGGGTGTATTGTTTGTGACTCATTTCAGGAGCATACTCTTGAAAAATGACACTGTTGAGAGACGGTGCATGTCGAAAGAGTGCATGAGCATGAGGACTATTGGACGGACCCGCTTGAATGATGTGTGCGGCATTGCGATGAAAGGTAGTGTGATCGTATAGGTGATGATCGACCTGTTCTAGGAACAAGTATACAGCGTGTGGCATGTCTTCAATGGACGCCGTTTCCAGAATGACCACATCATTGTCATCGTCGACTTCCAACGCAGAATCAGGATTGGATCGGTCCTTGAATACATTGGAGTGTGGATCAAACTCTAGTTTCATTTGTACGTAGTACTTGGGTCCGTGTCCGTATCTGATGATAATGAAAGAGGGAGAACGGGTGAGTAAGTAAGTCAATAAGAAAGGACAAGAAGCGAGTGATGTGATGTGATGTATGGTGAATAGTTAGATCAAAACTTACTTTTCTCGCAGCAACCGTTTACTCATGAGTTGTACATCTCGTTGCATTTTGAGATTGGCATGTTCCCAATGAAATAGTTTGCGTTGTGTTTCTAGATCAATCTGCTGTTGATCGGGAACAACGGGCTGATGTTGTATTTGATCGGCGAGTTGCAAGTTTTGCTGTCTCAGTGTTTGCACTCGTTGTTCCATTTCCTTGGTGTGATGAATGTGATGTTGTACTTCTTGTTCCTTGAGTCGTAGTGCATCTTGTAGCATGGCATCATGTTGGTATACGGCCATGCCTAGAATGATGAGAGTGCAAAAGGCAAACAAGGCAATCATTTGCTTGTTGTTGGTTTTATTGTTTGGTGTGGAAGATGAAGATGAAGAAGTGGCAGAATGGAGAAGATGATTCCAAAAGGAAGACATGTAAGATGAATTTGGGTTTGAGTTTGTGTAGTATAGTTGTTGTCTTCTCTTGGGTCCAAAGAAAGAGCTGTTTCCAGGATTGAGCATTCCATAGGGAGTATTGCTCATGTTCATGTCAGATTGTTGTTGTATAGACATTGACATGGACAATTGTTGCTGTTGCAGTGCTTGTTGGGCATGGGCATGCTGCTGTTCCATATCTCCAGAGGATTGACTGGTACTGGTGTTTCTCTTGGGTGCCATTCTGGGAGAACAGCGTTGTCTAGTGCTTGTACTGGAACTTAGGTTGTTGAGGTTGTTGAGGTTACTTAGGTTGTTGGTGGAAGAAGAAGAGGCTGAATTAGAGTAGGAAGGAATGGGAGGACTTCTGTGTCTTTGCAGTTCAGGTCTAGCACTGGTACTGGTAGAAGCTCTAGTAGTAGTAGGAGACCTTGGTGAACCATGCCCTCTAAAGATGGATTCTCCAGAGTGGTGTCTTTGGACACTACCATGACTGCCAGTACCAACTGAAGGTCTTCTTCTACTAGAACTGGTCAAATCATTTCCACTGGAGTGATCAGCAGCAAAGTTCAAGTTTCCACTGTGGTTGGGAGTCAATATGCGTCTAGATCTGGAAGCTGAGTTCATGCTGGAGTCCATAGAGCCAGTGTTATCCACTGTGACATTGACAGGGCTAAAGTGTGCCTGAGCTTGACCTAATAAGGAGTGACTCAAGTCGGCAATCAGTTGATCAGGAGGAGAAGCACTGCGATGGCTGCGACTGCTGGATCCACTATTATTGCGACCCAATCCTCGTAGGTTTTTACTGGAGCTGCTACCAGGACTGCCGTTGCCATTGCCATTGCCGTTGCTGTTCGACTCGTTACTGAAAAAACGTTTACGATGGTGAGACGTCATGGTCCTCAAATCTTTTCTCTTATCTTAGCTCAATGTATGTATGGTGTGATTATCAGATACTAGTAGTCAAGTTGAGAGTGTCTTGCCTGATCGTAGCTCTTCTCATGCTACTAGAGCTAGTATTTGTGTTGTGTGTGACGAAAAAAGATCCCGGCAAGCAGAGAATGCTTTGGCTTTATTAGTCTGGTTTTGGGCTTTGTGGTGGGAACTGATTTTTTGCTGGGTAAATACCAACAGCAACAACAATGGCACAGATCTTCCGCGCCAAGTCACGAGTCACCATCATGTCTTTTCACCCTATTTACTATACAACAAACAGTACCTCGATCGTGGTGACCAAGACGACAAGACCCCAATCGGCAACTGTCCCTAATTCTTGAACCGAAAGGTGAACCTTTTCCGGACTTTCATGGAACATCTCCAATGAACGGTCATTACCCCAAGCCTTATTCTGCAGTTTGCTCTTTTGCTTGGTGGCTTGGTGGCGCTTGGAGCGGAGGTGCGCTACTAGTTCTACATGTAGTAACAAGCCTACAAGGTCGCTCGACAACAAAATAGTGGAGGTGAACTCCAGGACCTGGCCTTCAAAGCTCATCCTCGCCATCCTGTCCGTGCAAGGTACTAGCTAGTACATCAACTCTAGCTATTAATACCTGGTAGTAGCTAGCTATTAGAGTAAGAGATAGTTCAGCCTGCTGGCTAGCTAGCTACATGTAGTAGTCTAGTGGCCGCAGACAAGTCCTTCAAGGTCCTGCCTCCATCCAAGGCAGCCAACAAGCAAGAAACCCACGCAACCAAGGCAAGATTGCCCGCTCTAAAAATCAGGATTGGCGGCCTGGGATCTCCTCTTCCAAACTTACTTGGTACTGTAGTTACCCAGCGTTCAATTTCTTGATCAAGACTGGCTCCCTTTTTGGGTAATCCTTGTCGCCAATACCGGCGTGCCCACCGTACATGCATGCTGGGTTTCTACCACAGGCAGGCTCACCCAATACCCAACAGCACCCAACCAATTTTTCAAAGAGGGCTTCCTTGTTAGACTAGTTGCCTTTCTGACCTTCATGCTGGGTTGCTACCACAGAGGCTGCGGCACAGACTGACCCAACCAATTTGCAAGGAGCGACAATGTCTTTTTTGCTTGGTCGAGGCATGAGCCAGTCGGACGTCGCCGCTTACAGTAGTGGCGACACTCACTGGCCTGATGATCGCGGCATTGAGTGCACTTGGTCAGCCCGCGTTCCGGAAAGCAAGATATGCAGCCGCGCAGGAGTGACTCGGTCACAATCTTAGAAACCCACATGATGTTGGGATTCACGCACCATTCAAAGCAACAAGTCCGCATCTGCTTCATTACGCAACCAAGCAATGGCCACAGCCAACGTCTACCACACTCCCACGTAATGGGGACCACATGCTTACTACATGTAGTATACACTGGGTCGGTCACCTCAGACTTTTTCATGGCCAAAAGGATTCATATTATGCATACCGTGGCAAACTGGAGACCAGTCTACAACGGGAGCAAGTCCGTATTCGGTTCCAATGCCTTGGATGCATCAAAACGAAAACTAGTGGATATTTGGCTAGCTATAGTGATAGCTTTTGATATTGGTTTTTTGAGAGCTTGCAGCTTCAGTTTTATCGCTTTTTACACTAGCTTTTCCAAAGCTCCTGCAACTTGCTTGTTCCCGACAACACTAAGCAAGATCTAATATGGGGGTCTGCCAGTGGAGTTCAAGTTGTGACTTCCAGCATACCGCTCGTCTTTGCTATAGAACTTCATCATAACTTGGGACTCTAGCTCACTCTCAAACCCATACAAGTAGCACGGATCAATACTTTGTAAAACAGAAACGACGACAGTAGTACCGGCCGGTAGCGGTGTCACAAAGACAAAGATAGCGGCAAGTAACGACGACACTGTGGGCAAAAGAATTGGTGGAACTCCAGACCGCGAGGATGAGTAACTGGCTGTGGCGACGTTGGAATGATTAGCCTTAGGATTGCCAGCCAAAGAGCTCACATTATTTGAGACTCGAGCAACCTTGCGGTGCACATTTGATTGGAATAGTTTTCGTTGCGATCTCTTGCTAGACCAGTCAAATGTACTATAGCGATTGTATTGGCGCCTCGAACGCAAAGTATAGCATCTTCACAGATGGCCGACGCCAAGCTGAGGACTTCTGACAAAAGAGCTCCGAGTAGGAACCTCGCCCAAGAGGAGGTGTAACAGCTCATTGGTGAGTCTGTGGAACGCAGCACTTCAAAGGGCAGACGAGAGGCGCGAATCCTCCTGAAAAATAGCCGCTTCGAATCTGCAAGCAGAGGCCACAACGATATTATTGAAAGACTGTCACTTGGAAAAGCTTAGCGGAGAGCACTTGACCAGCAAAAATAGAGAAGCAACAGCTCGGATGCAATTGGCACACGTACTACCGGTAGCTGCATGTTCAGACTTTTCACATGGACGATTTTATTCTTGGCATCGGCCAAAGCCTCTACTTTAGTTGCTGGTTAGGCCACGCAACGGAATCCAACCTACATGTATGGTACTAGAGCAACACCATACAGCCACCGCGTGGCGGTATAACCAATTAATTGATCAAACTACCGAAGTCTTTATGTATGCCTGAGTGCCCCCTTTGTGAAGCCACTCATAGTTGGTGTTCGTGAGTGTATACGTTGTCATCGTCGTCGTCGTCGTCGTCATCATCCCCGGAGTCACTCGAGGTACTATCAACTGCGTTTCCGCCTTCAGCCTGGTTGCTACTTCCGTCGGCATACAAGCTTTTATCCTCTCCATCGCGCACTTGTGTCGTAGCGGGGACCGGTTCGTCGTCTTTCTTTGGGTTGTCTTGCTTCTGGGCCTCCGTACGGGCTGGTTCCTCGTCCTCCTTGGCTTTCTCTTGCTTTGGGGCCTCTGAAGGGGAAGGTTCGTCGTCTTTCCTGGGTTTCTCTTGCTTTGGGGCCTTTGCAGGGGAAGGTTCCTCGTCCTTCTTGGGTTTCTCTTGCTTTGGGGCCTCTGTAGGGGAAGGCTCGTCGTCTTTCTTGGGTTTCTCTTGTTTCGGGGCCTTTTCAGGGGCTGGTTTGCTGTCCTTCTTGGGTTTCTCTTGCTTCAGGGCCTTTGAAGGGGCTGGTTTGCTGTCCTTCTTGGGGTTATCTTGTTTCGGGGCCTTTTCAGGGGCTGGGCCTTTGTCCTTTGCTTGATGCTCACTTTTCTCCTCTTTCGACGTGGTGGTATCTTTTTTCTTAGGCTTGTTCCGTTTTCCTTTCGACCGGAATTGCGCCTTTTCCGCATTCTTCTTCTTCTTGTGGTCCTTCACAAGCTCCAACTTGATCGCTTTTTCTTTGTCCTCTTCGATACGTTTGCGGAAGGCATCGACCTTCTCTTCTTCTGATTTGTCTGCTGCATTGTTTGCTTTCTTCAGATTGTCGCTAAGTGTATCCAGTTCGCTCTCAAGCTGCTCAAGCTTCTCAATCTTTGCTGCTGGGTCAGACTTGTCTTCCTCGTCATGTTCTATCGCGTCCTCGATGGCATCATTGATTTTCTCGAACTGATCCGATTCATTGTTCGCCTCCTCTGATGTTTTCTTGGTTTTCGGCTCATTCTTTTGGCTTTCCTTCTTGGTGTTGGATTCTTCTTCTTCCTCATCCTTGGATTCTTCCTCCTCTTCGTCCTTGGACTCCGCCTCATCTTCGGATTCCTTGGACTCAACTTGATCTTCATTTTTGGATTCTTCCTCATCCTTGAATTTTTCTGTCTCTTCCTTCGACTCGTCCTCATCCTTCGATTCGTTATCTTCTTCCTCCTTCGAGTCGTCCTCATCTTCAGATTCATCTTCGGAGGAGAACCCGTCATCAGAATCCTCAGAGGCTTCTTGGGCTACATCAGCCTGTTGGTCTCCATCCCTCGGCTGGACTGGAGCCGGTTGCGGAGCTGGCTTTGGTGGTGGCGGTGGAGCTGGCTTTGGTACCGGTTGCGGTTGCGGTGCTGGTTGCGGAGCTGGCTTGTGATGCTGCTCCAGGGATGCCTTGGCTGCGGGTGAAATGTCAGTGTCGGTGACATTAACATGAGCACGGAGCATGTCACGGCCACTGTTGCTGGCGCTAATGATCATCATCAAGAGCAGAGTGATGGTAAGTCCCACCCAGATGATCTGCAAGAGCCATCGATTGGATTCTTCGGCAGTCCAAGGCTTGCGGTTACGGCCCTTCTTCTGGTAGCTGGTCTCGGCCTTGTACTCTCCGTACTTGGTCTTGGTGGGCGTATTCTCCTTGCCGGCAGCCGATCCGTTTCCAAAGCGGTATCCGTAACGGGCGGCATCAACGTCATGCCTTGAGCCGTCATACTTGTACTGGCGAACCATTTGCTCATATTTGTCCTGCAAGGCAGTCACAACGCCGGTGAAGGTACCAGGTGAGTTGGGGCCACCCATTTGACGTTGCGCTTCCATAGCCTGTTGGAGCTCTAGCTCCGTGCGTTTGTAGCGTTCCGCGGCTTCTTGGACCATGGGATCCGAGTAAATCGGTACAGGGGTTGTCCGGATGGGAAGAATCGTAGGCCCACCGGCCGTCTCAACGATGGTTTCCTTGGTGGAAGAATCACTCGAATCAGATCCCGTCGAGTCGGTGGACGCTGCATCGGGTTCCTGAACTCGTATCTCTCCATTTTCCACGACGATTTCTCCTACCGAGTTGTTGGCCATTGTCCGCGTCATGATGTTCATGCGCATTTCGTCGTCAGGGTCCATATCCATGTGCTCGGTCTCGGACTCGGACTCGTGCGGGTCACTGGCGTACATCATGTTGAACAGTCTGACTTGGTTTGAAAAGAGGCTGATGTTGAAAGAGAACTTGGCACTGGCTGCCTCTCGTCTACGCTGCTGTCTCTGTCTCTGTCTCTGTCTCTGTACTTGCTGAATGAAAACTAGATATTATCTAACCAAAAAGTGATACAATTGTCAGGATAGAGGTGCTACACGAGGATGGATTCACCAGCTGCTTTGATGCAAGGTGCTCAGCCTTGCTTTGAAGCCATGATAGCATACCTGCGGCACTGAGGCTCAGGTGGTGCCTGCTTGCAGGAATCCATCTGGTGAGCATCCGGTGAGACACGAAAGTGAGGCGAGCTACAGTACGATGTATCAATGCTTTGCCAATCACAAAAACCGCGGGAGTTGATCTTCATAATAGCTGCTATGAAAATTCGCCAAGCCCATGCATGGTCAGCAGTCTTGCGACTCTATAGCTTGGATGAAATTGGAAGGCTGACCATGATTACGTAGGTTAAACCAATACTTCAACTTCAAAACGTGGTATGGGCGTACCAGAATACTTCAAAGTAGCTACGAGTATCCGCGCTGAATCAGGTGTTTATCTTCCTCTAGTAGTGTACCGGTACCGGTAGGCAACAAGATACTGCAGCCAACAGCGTCAGCGGTCGGCGGCAACTCTCCCCAGAATTGTTTCGTTCTTATTAGTTTGTCCCAACAGTCACGGACCATGCTGCCTAGACCAACCTGGATCAGAAGGCACTGGAAGATCAGCTTGACTACAAGTGGATATTGATGGGATAATGCTGGTGTGGTGCTAGTATTATCCATGGATCTGGATTGCTGGAAAGCAGGCAGCAACTCACAATGACACACTTGCCGACATGATCATGTAATTGTGCAACAAGTTGACACTGGGGGAGAACAGTACGGTACCGGTACGGCATACAAGACAACTGCTGCACCCACTATCGCTCCGCCGGTTGAACCCACAACCAGATTGAGACGATGACATTGGCAGAAGCAGATCAATTTGCTTTGATGACATTGTACTGGTTCTATGCTACCAATCGTCCTGGTTGACAGTTGCAACGGTACAGCTCGTACTGGTCGGACCACGAGACCTATGCATGGCGCATGGCTACTTTTTAAAAGGTCTGCGACTCGGACGTCGTTACTGGTGCCTACACGAGGCTGCCATTGAAGGATAGCTATCTTCTAGGTTCCATACCAATTCAACTTGGATTGCTCTCTCATTTGACGGCCGTTGACTTGTGGAGCAACTCTGGTGATTCTGGTTCTGCCTGCTATTCTAGGGTTCATTTGCAATCTTTTGCAAGGTGACAGCATGCCACGGAAGAAGTTTCAATTACTTGCAAGGATAGCTTGACTTGTGATTCTGGATTGTGGTTGTCAGTGCGCTGGCTGATAAGCATGCAGGTAAAGGGAGATAGATAGATAGCTAGCTAGCTATAATCAAAAGATCATTCAGTCCGAGGTCTCTCACTTTGGATTTGTCATGGGTGGCGACACGTGTGTTTGTCAGCTCAGCTGCTTCATAGCTTTTGGTGCACCTCTTGGCGCGCACTTCCCTTTTTGCTCTCATCTTTCGGCAGACTTTCATTTCAGTAACTGTTGTTGACTACCGGTACCAGTACCGGTGCCGACAAGGAGACAATGAACAAGCAGATGATGAAGCGCAAGGTCAATAGTAAGTACATCATACGGTACCAGTACTACTAGTACTGTGATGAGGAAGAGGAAGCGAAAGGGAAGAGCTTGAAGTATAGATCAGGCGGAGTGTAGCAAAGTCCTCCATTAGGGTTTATTTGTGCTGTTGTCATTGCTGATGGATTTATTTTATTTTTATTGTTTTTCCTTTTCAGCCGTGACACCCACATCCACTACTTCTACTTCTATAGCTACAGCTACTGCTAGCAATGCTGGAATGGCTCGATTGAAGAGTCAAGTAGAAGAACTACGGGAGCATCAAAGAGCTCTACTGAAATCAGTGGATGTCTACCAAGCCTCAGCGGAAGCTTCCTTTCAGAGAGAAAGACAAAAAAGCCATTTGGCTTTCCAAAAAGCAAAAAATGATTTTGACATTTTCGTCACAAATCTGGATTTTCCACAAATTCAGTCACACAAACATATTCAAAATGACAAAAAGATCCATCAAAATCCAATTTTGAATCAAAATCAACCAGAGGAACCAATGACTGCTCAGCTTCAGGACAAGGACAACCAAGAGCAAGAGCAAGACCTAGAAGAAGAACAGCAACAACAGCTAGAGCAAGAAACAAAGAAGAAACCAAAATCAGAAGACAAGAAGAAAAGTCCCTTCAAGTCACCAGGAACCAAAAAAGCTATTCTAGCCATTCTCAACAACAGTCAGCAAAAACCCAAGCAAACTCCAAGAAGTGCACAAGCAAAAGCAAAAGCAAAACCATCCAACAAACAACAATCTCCAACACAAAAAGCTACTGCACAAAAGAAACAGACACACAAGTCACTCGCCATGCATACCGGTACTGGAACCACAGCAAAGTCCAGCAAAACGAGACCTGATGCAGCTCCAATACTATCCAAATCAAAACCATCACAATCACCCAACTTCTTGTTGAAGGAGGAGGAGGAACGACAACTAGCCATTCTAGAAAACATGGACAATGTCGATTTGGACTCCAAATTGCAGGAATATGAAAGAAGGGCCTTTCAATCGGCGGTACAAAAGGCTCTACAGGACTTTGCTTCCTTTGCCAACAACCAACAAATAGTGGACAAACCATCACCTCCCAAACAACAAACACCGGTGCAACGCATGTCACTGCAGCTCAAAAAGCCAGACATGATTGTACCTCCTTCGCCCATCTCCAGCGATATACAACACGACATTTCCAACAATTTGCTCGAACGAACACAATCATCATCCGACCAAGCTGAACTACATGTAGAGACAATGCACAATCCAACAACAACAACAACAGCAACATCCAACAGTCACCAACTCGCGTTGCAACCCCACAGACTTGTGGGGGGAACACATCATTTACTGGACGATCTGGATCTATCGGTAGTATCTGGAAGTGATCTACCCAGCCTCGTGGAGGAACTACTGCCCAAACTACCAAAGCCACCAACGGTTCAAACAACAACGCTAGACTATTATAATAATACCAAGGACGACCCGGCAGATCTCGGAACGCCAAATCTCATCACACCTGCCAATGCGTCTCTACCGCTACTAGTCGCCACGGAAGGAAACGACAGGCTACACATTGCCAATGCAAACACCAATCGTTCCAGAAGAAATCAGCACCACAACATGTTCGAGGAACAGTCAACAAAGACCAAAGCCCAATCGATTCTCGATCAAATACTCAACAGCAACGCCGACAATGTCATGGGAACCGCCGACAATTACCAGCATTATGTGATTGATCCAGGGCAACAAAGTGATCAGTCTTTCATCCCGCAACCATCTTCATCTCCAAGCCCCGTTCCTCACAACATCCCACGGCAACCGACGTCGTCACCGAGACAAATACCACCACCTTCACCGTCGTACAGAACGAAACAAGAGCATCAACCACCTGGCTCGTCGTTGCTACGGCAAGGCGACACATATCCGTCCAACGATATTCTGCTACTAGCTAACGACGCTGCTTCTACTCCAACTGGAATGCAGCAAACTCCCGGAACGGAACGGCAACAATCGCCACAAAGGACCAGACTCGATCTTTCCCATTACATCTACTGAAACTGAAACAATTCAACAACAAACCAAAATATTGAGCAGGGCGTGCTATGAAGGCTAGAGGGAGCGCCTGCGACACCTGTGGTATGCTACGCTTGAACGAAGCGCTCATCGCCACAGCACTGGTTGCACAAGTCATTCATGCAGAAGCTTCGTGCCATATGCCTAAGCAGAATAGAAGGACAATTTCTCCTGGATTTTACTACTAGTACTACGTAGTCGACGTTGCTACCGGTACCCCACTGTTTCCTGCCTGCATCTTGGTGCAGGAGAACCGAACTGGTTGCGAAACGTATCGTTGCTGCATAGCTATAGATCTAGTTCGTGACGTTTCGCGGCACTTTGTCTGAACATCAAGAGACAAGAAAGCAACGACACGACAGACTCGACTCGATCACAGCAAGGACCCGAGAGACTCGACTCGACACGACACGATCTTCCGCGCCAAGTCGAGAAAGTCCCTTGTTCCACGTCGTCAAAGAAGTACAAAGGTTTCCCAAGTTTCAGAGAGGAGCACGACGACAAAGAACGGCCCTTGTCCGACGAACCAACTTGGAGAGTGCGGGGCAAAGAAGGGAAGAAGGGGTGAGGAAGCGCAAAAATGAAGCTGGACAAGGCCTCCTACAACAGCAAGAACCAAGGGAATATGATTACTACGATCTACACGGCTCGAGCCTTTCTGCAGATTTCAGGTCTCCTTGAACAACCAACCAACAGCCAGGAAAAGGAAGCGCCACCGCAAAGTAACAGGCAGGAAGTGTCACCGCAAAGCCAAGGCAGCCAAGGCAGCCAACCGATCAACCAAACGCCACACTTGAACAAGCAGCCAACCACCGACCAACCGACCAACAGACAGACAGTAGAACTTGTGATCGACTTGAGGTTGAGATGGAGAAGAATCGGTTGGATGCAGCAACGGCTGACTCGACTCGACCATTTGTCCGGAAGGGTCTCCTGGAAGATCACCCAACTACGAAAAGGTCTCACCATCGTAGGTTGCGGTTGCCTTGGGACTCACTTGAAGGTGCTGGTGCTCGAAGAGGGCGCCGATAGGCTCTTGGACTTGACTCGAAGAGGGTAGTAAAGGCGACCCGCCAAGCGGACGCCTTGCACGAGGAACCACCGCAAGACGACGCCTGACCAGCTGACCAAGTAACCGAAAGGCAAAGGAAGAGCCACCGCAAAAAGGAACCACCGCCACAACGTTTCGACGGGGTCTCTCGTAAGATTGACCAGATTTCCGCGTGTTTCTTGCTCTTGGGCTTGACTTGATTGATTCGACTCGGAGAAAGAAGCCGTCAAGAGGACCCAACCAAACAGAAGAACTGACCGCTGCCTTGCGCGAGGACAAACCAACTGTACCAACCCACTGTTACCGCCGCAAGACGCACGACGACACGTTCACCAGTGGATCGACGTGCAGGAAAGATTCATGAAATGGCCTTCATGAAACGATCGATCGAGCACTGAAAGACAGAAGAATCAACAAACGGCGACCCGCCAAACAGAAGAACCGACTTTACCTTTACACGAGGACGAACCAGCCAACTAACTAGACTAACCAACGGTCCAAGAGCGAGTACGAACCAGCCAACCCAATGCTACTCAGCTATGAACTGTTCCAAAACCACAATCGGCTATACCATGGACCAGAGCACGGCCTTTCACCCGACAAAAGAAAGAAGGAAGGAAGGAAGAAAGGTAGGAAGGAAGGAAGAGAGCCATCAGCTATGAACTGTTCCAAAACCTCAATTGGCTATAACATGGACCAGAGCACGGCCTTTGGCAACTCTTTTTGTGGACATGATGAGATGACGATCATGGTGCTTCCCTCAAAAGGGGTTTGTGAAGACGACGAACAGGCACAAACGACGTTTCCCTTTTCAACGACTTGATTTCGGCATTATTTTGGCAAGACTGGATGTCAAAGTGTCAACGGTGGAATGAAATAAACTCTTAAGCCCTAAAGCGGTTTTTACCACTCCCGGGATCCCGATCTCAACGATCCTTGGTCGGTGCTGTACCGATACCAGCTGCTGTACTGTACCGCAGCTAGCTATGCTACGTGCCGGTACCGGTACACGCTAGCACGCACTGGCTACCGGTACTACAATTGCAATGCTGAATCAATCGAATCAATCAAAGTTGATCGATGAGCTCGAACGTACAATGGGTCTTAATAAATACATGTAGCAACTCCGGAGTAGCCAGCTATGCCCACCGACGGCAGTAGCAACAAGCGTCGAATGCACCACGATTCTGCGAACAATCATTGTTAAATCCAGGCAGGGTTGCTTTTCTCAGTCAGCCACTCAGACTTTTTGAATATCTCGGATATTTCCTTCTCCAGCCGGCTTCATCTCTCCAGCCGCCTCGCGTTTTGAATATCGGGGTCATTTCCATCTCCAGCCGCCTCGCGTTTTGAATATCGGGGTCATTTCCATCTCCAGCCGCCTCGCGTTTTTGATATCGGGGTCATTTCCATCTCCAGCCGCCTCGCGTTTTTGATATCGGGGTCGTTTCCATCTCCAGCCGCCTCGCGTTTTTGATATCGGGGTCGTTTCCATCTCCAGCCGCCTCGCGTTTTTGATATCGGGGTCGTTTCCATCTCCAGCCGCCTCGCGTTTTTGATATCGGGGTCATTTCCATCTCCAGCCGCCTCGCGTTTTGAATATCGGGGTCATTTCCTTCTCCAGCCGCCTCGCGTTTTTAATATCGGAGAGCGAAGCGACAATGGCGTTCGGACACGGTTCTAGGGTTGTTGAATGAAAGTTCAAAATTGGGCGCGCTGGTCTGTTATATTTGGCGCGAAGCAACAACGGGGTGTTGGGAGCACATTTCCTTTCGTGGTGGTCTCGAACGGACCGTGCAGTACAGTAGACCCAATAACACCATGCAGTTGCCCATTCAGGTACCGTAGTAGACCCAATAGCACCGGTTCTTGTCTGGTTGCGATCTGCTGTTGGCGGAGAGTCCATGCTGGTGCCGGCTGCTGCAGCACGAGCGAACGAATCGAATCCTTTTTCCTTGGCTGCTCAAATGGGGTGCAAGTCGTTTTCTAGAGTACCTAGCTAGCTGGACCGATTGCTTGTCGTCACTGCAAGGTTGCTGTACAAGGAGACGAAATACCGCCCATTGTGGGAGATGAGGGATCAGCGGTAGCCAAGACAGGCCCGGAAAAGTACAGGAATGGCTGGTTTGAAACCAACATGGCTGGTTGCGTCCTGCAAGCAAGCGAAGAAGGGAGCACCAGCTAGACTAACAGTCCCACACCAGTACAATGCGGTACGTCCTGAGATCTGAGATTGAAGTCTCCCACTTACTCACTTGAACTAAACCAAAGATTACTCTCATCTAATGTCATACCCAAACATCTACTAGCTAGCTACATAGAGCCCTTGGCAACCTGGCAACCGAGTACTAGCTACTAGCTAGTAGAGTACTGCGCAGTACTAGCTAGCTAGTCTCGTACCTTGTACCTGGGAGTAAAGCAACGCTTGAAAAGGTGCGTGAAAAGGCTTTTGAGTTTCAACGCAGCTGCTGCAACCTATTATTAAGTTGACCAGTTGACCACTAAGTGATAAGTGAGCTTCTTTTGCTGCATTGGCGACTGTCGGGTTGCCACTCTTAAGTCTTGAAAGCCAGGCAGCTAAAACTGAGGAGGACTCGAGTACTCATTATTTCTCATTTATTTCCAGAGCTTTTCCAGGCTGTACTTGAGTTTACAGTATCTGGTCTTATGTCTTATTACAGTGGAAAAGACAGTACTCCGAGTAAATATTACTGCGACATCGTATCCTCGGCTACTCATGATTCAATCATTACAAGATGCGAATGCTTTCCAAAAAGCATTTTCAAGATTACGTACTGTAGTACTGTAGCACTGTAGAGAGCATGTGAGGAAGAAGGGTTCGATTCGTGACATGAACTTTCAACAGGCCTTTGACCATTATCGTCGGCGCTGGATCGCTGATGAAGGCTGGAACATTAAACAGCCGCAATCGTCCACTACAAAACCACAGCAACGACAACCGAGCACTACTAGTATTTTTCAGAAGACCGCAACATCATTGCCACCACAGCCAACAACTAATAGCTCTCATCCTCATCCTCATCCTCATCTATACACATCATGAAAGAAACTAAATGTACTACAAGTACCGGTATAGAAGCCCCTGCGGCTCCGGTGGAAGACGAAGGCAAAGACTTGGAAGCAGCAGAAGTGGTCCCGCTAGTAACAGAAGCCACTGATAAGGCTAAGGCCAAGGCTAAGGCCAAGGCTGAGGCCACCCAAGACTCAGGATCAGGCACTCAGGAATCCGCAAAAGCTGCAAAAGCTGATACCGATGAGAGTGGTACATGTAGCATCTGGGCTATGCCAATGCCAAGAGACAGCGGTGCTACTGAGGCCACCACTGATAGTACATGTAAGGTTAGCAAGGTTAGCAGGGGTAGCTTTGCGGTTACCGGTAGCATGGGTAGCATTACGGGAGAAACCAGGCATCCGTTCCTGCAAGAGTTGGTAGAAGATGTCGGAGATCAGCGAGTCCCTGCGGCGCCCGTACCCTCGGGCAAGATTGGTAAGATACACAAGATGGACGCTAACGCTCAATCGCTGCCCTTGCCATCTGCTTCAGGCAATCCAGGAGCGTTTGCTGTGGAGAGTCCCATGGCGTCTGCTTCCTCTACTGCTGGTACCAGTGTGCAGTTAGCGCCACCACTACCGGTAGCTACCACTCCATCCACTGTCTCCGCGTTTGCTATACAGCCACTCCCAGATCATGGAACCCGCCCAACAAGAAATACTGATCAGATACATCAAGGACCAGGGGCCGTTGCGGTCAGGGGCAGGCCCCTATTTGCCACGTCAACTTCACCAGGACAAAGACAAAGACAAAACAATACCACTGCAACCAGTACCAGCTCCAACCAGGGATTGGCAGTTGCAAACTTGGTAGACGAGGAAGTACATCCGGCATTTCCAGCAGAACCTCAAAGTTCTACGGGTACAACTGCTACTCAAAAAACAAAAGACAAAACCAAGCAACTCAAGACCAATATCCTTCTGTTGGCAATGCTCCTCATTGCCATTGCTACTGTGGCCATTGCCGTGGTGGTTTCGGGAAACAAGAAAAACAATACTGTGGCGTCCTCCGTGGCCCCTACCATTTCCCCTTCTGCAGCACCGACATCCCTGGAGGCATCCATTCTCTCTCTCCTTCCCGACGAAACCATTTCGGCCATTACCAACCATGCCGGGTCACCACAAGCCAAAGCATGGCAGTGGCTTCTCCAAGACCCCTCTCTTTCGTCCTTATCATCATCAGAAGAACGTATCCAGCAACGGTTCGCATTGGCCACATTCTTCTTTGCCACACAAGGAGACAAATGGGCAGTCAATACCCACTGGCTCGACTACACCGTACACGAGTGTGAATGGTTCCAAAAAGAGGAATTCGCCAGAAAAGATCTCATTGCCAAGTTTCTTCCCGGATTCTTGACCAATTTCTTTCCTTCCACCACAACAGTACCACCAAGATGCAACGTTGATGGTCTCCTACAACAGCTCTGGCTGGACCAGAATAATCTCGCTGGCTCAATCCCAGAAGAACTCTTTTTGTTGACGAACCTCCAAACCGTGTCCATGGCGTTGAACGAACTACAAGGTACCATTTCCACCAATGTAGGCATGCTCACGGCACTCGAGGGTCTATCCATTGCAGATCTTGAGGATGCCGGAACCATTCCGTCTGAGATTGGGGTATTGACTAATCTCCGATTTCTCAGCATTGATCGGAATAACCACCAAGGATCCATTCCCAGTGAATTGTGGCAGTTGACCAACCTCGACACACTGGGGTTGACCACACATCCACAGCTCAAAGGGAGTCTTCCTACTGAAATTGGCCTTTTCTCCAACCTCCGCTGGCTCATTATGGACAATTGCGATTATTCCGGTACGTGTTGTTTGTTCTGGTCTGTTCTGTTTTGTTCTGTTTTGATCTGGTCTGTTCGAGGATTGTTATTATCGTGCGTCGTTTCTAACATGCCAATCTCGATTTATTATTTATTATTAGGAACCATCCCTACGGAAATTGGTCTAGCAACCACTCTGGAATGGCTCGTACTTCTCGAGAATCGATTTTCCGGAACTCTTCCAAGCGAAGTAGGAACTCTTCCCAACATTGTTGTCTTCAGTGTAGCAGGAGACATGATGGAAGGGACACTTCCGACAGAGCTAGGACTACTGACGACGCTGACATTGCTCCGGTTTGCTGATAATCAATTTAGCGGCGCAGTCCCAACTGAATTTGGACTGTTGACGGAACTCAACATTACGCTGAGTTTCAAGCACAATGGGTTTCTCACAGGAACCATCCCATCTGAGCTGGGGCTTCTTTCCAACTTGTACGAGCTCGAATTGCAAGGAAATCAATTTTCGGGTCCGATCCCAAAAGAATTTGGCCAACTCTCCTCGTTGGGCCACCTCACATTGGCCAACAATTTGCTTTCCGGCATGGTGCCTCTGGAATTGTCAGCTCTGGGGGAATCCCTCTATGCGTTGACCATGGAAGGCAACCCCTTGCTGCAGGGAACCATTCCCGAAGCAGTGTGCAATGTGAGCAGCACCTGTGTAGGCAATGCCATGCATGTGTGCGAAGGGGAGGGCTTGTCATTTGACTGTACAAACCTTTTGTGTGGTTGTGGCTGTGATTGTGATCTTAGATAGCGCTGGCAGCATTGTAACAGTGAGAAGGCATTCATAACAAATGACTGCCATACACTCTAGATTGTCGTTCGGCAACGAATCGAATCGAATCACTTCGTCGCGTACTCGGTAAATGCATTGTAGAATTCGTGCTAATACTGGCTCCTGAGCCAGGGTATGAGGACGACATTTCCGTGGATTACACCAGCAAGAGGCATGTGGCCGCCAGCATGCCAGCGCCATGACATTCGAAGACTCGTGGGGCGACTTGTTCACGACGTCGTGTAGGGCTCTTTCTGTCTGTTTACCACTCCAGCTTGACTTGCCAAAGCTAGGAATCAGCTGGGCATGAACGTGCGACAACAAGCTAGCTAGAAACTTTCAGGACTCGACTGAGTCTCCCCGTCAGGATCCACTATCCACCATAGGGGGGAAAGTCAGAGGAGACAATGAGAATCTTAGCCTGAAAACTGCACATCTCTGCCATTACTGGTAGTACAGGACTTCGTTCTTTCTATCCACCCAGAGTGCGTAACCTATCTTGCTATCTTGTTTGGTTCTGGTTGTTTACGGCTTGCGTACCCTACAGTGGTGAGAGATGCACTCTACGCATCGCATCGTCAGACTCATTTTAATATCTTACTTTCGAGTTCCGAAGCGCGACTGCGCACCAGCACAAAGACAGCGGCCAGCATGTTTGACCCCATTCACACACGATCACACACTGGTGCAGATTGATGGTCCAGCCGGATCTTCCACCCAGGATGCGGGCAGCAATAGTAAACTGATCTCACAATGGCTGCTCTGTTGACCAGAAACAAACATCTTTCCTTCAAGTTGTAGAGGAGCTGACCAGAGACGAAAAACCATGCTGAAAATGCCAAAGCCACGGACGAAGCACCTATCCAGAATGCGGGCGAAATGGATTCTGGCCTTTGCCACCGTTCGGACACATGACACGGACGACTTTTGGGCTTTCCAGAGCATGGTTAGCTTTGATGAGAGTATTGTTTGGGTTCGTGCCAATACAGTAGAAAGAACAGATGGATCTTCTTCCAAGCAAAGTGAGAAGAAAGATCGTGAACCAAGAAGGCGACACTTTGTGAGGAAGAGAAGAGCCCAATAGAAGTTGTTTACTGAGTAGGCAATAGTGATTTGCACGGGCTCGCGAAATGAGCCAAATATAAAAGAATGGAACCCAATTGGTCGCCCTGAAAGACAGGTACCAGGTACCGCAAGTACGAACTGACTTGGTACGCGTGCTTGTGGTCTAGCAATAGAATCTATAACATGTAAGAACAAAGTAAGCATGCATTTTGGTCGCCGGCAACTAGCTCTGTCGTGCGGTGCGGCGACATTTTCAATGAGATGAAAGGCTTCGTTGGCTACATGACATTGTAATAACGGCACCATCGAAACAAGTCAGTGCGGAAGGGCACTTTACGGTACGTATCTATTACACTCGGCCCAGCAGCTGTAGTGTCACCGCTATATTCATCACGACCCAAGCGAACGCACTGTAGATTGTCGTAGTGGCTACTGCGGACGACTCGTCTGGGTATTCGTAGTCTGGGTTCTTGACCATGGAGAAGGTCATTGGTTCGACGGTGAATGTGGCTACAGTAGACCCCACCAATGCCCGTTGCTGCCAGGAAGGCATGTTGGAAGAAAGCAATCGTTTTCGACGAGACCCATGCTGCTTGAGTTCCACGACGAGTGCTCCTTCTGCTGTAAGTTGTATCTTGTCATAGTCAAAGAAAGCTGGTTTCAAGAGAAAGGAGACCACACACGTGTGCAAACTGGTGGTGGTGGTAGTAGATTTGGGTGTGCACCACTTTCCCGCCCACCCATCTTCTGCGACATCGTCAACGACAATGTTTTGGGAGTTGCGATGAGCCTTTTCCATGTCTGTGACGACCAAGCTGAGGACGTCGTCTACATCGAACTGTCCCCCAATAACCTCAAAGCAAATGGACACGACACTGCCCTGTTCGACGACAATATCTCCCGGGTTGATTGGCAGAAATGTCTCTGCATGACAAAAGTACGGGTGGAGTACAGAATCCCATCCCGACAAGAAGCGGCTTGTCTCCTTCATGTCCACTGCATGCAAGTGACGCCATTCATTCAATCGCCAGCCAAGTGTGAAAGACAGTTAGACAGTTCAGTTGGCTGTTCAGATCGTGAAGGCAATCTCAGAGCAATAGCAGCAACTAAATGCGATTGGTAAACTAACTTACGTGGTTGGCTGATACCGGTACCAAGAGCAAACAAGGCACATGCCAGTGGTGCAAGGACACGTTGAAACAAGCGCATTGGTGCCATGGTGGATCCTCTGCCGTACAGATACTAGTAGCCTGCTCCACGCTTCTTGTTTCTTGAAGCGTTTTGTTTGCTTTGCTTTGCTTTGCTTTGCTTTGCTTGTCTCAGCTATTTGACTTCAGTTGCAAAATTCAATGGACTTGTTTTGTGTGCGTGACCATGCATGGAACCAAACCAGGAGACAGGGGAGCTTCCATCAAATAAGAAGGGGTACCTACGGTACCGTATGGGCAGCTGACTTACATGGTCATTGCATCTACAGGGACAACACACATCAGTTGTAAATGAGAAGATTGGATTCTGATTCATCTCCGGTGAGACAACAGTGTGTTGTCTATGCCTCTAGCTAGCTAGTAGTAGTGAGCCTTCGCATGCTGATCCCCTTGCCATGGTTGGGATTTCTACCTAGATGGGTGCCTCGTATCTCTAACCCTGAAATAGATAACGTTTTTGTGAATACCGTTAGCGGTGCGCACTCGTGCAAAAATCTTGAAAAAGCCGTTGCTTGATAGGAAAGACTGCATGCCGCTGCGGAACACGATCGATCGAGAGCTCAATATTTTTGAAAAGGAACACAACTACTAGTAACTCTGCGAGATACATTGTAGCAACTAACTGTCAGGTCATTACGCACTCACTTGCTCACAACAACCTTATCTACTTTATCTACCTTTTCTACACCTTTTAAGCCAAGCCAAGCCAAGCCAAGCTAAGCTAAGCTAAGGTAGAGATGTACTCTTCATTGGGAGCAGGCGGCTCTGCCAATTCTTGGGGAATTCCCAACTACTCTTCCAATAGTGGCAGTGGCAGTGGCAGTGGCAGCTATGGCAGATTACAAGCTTTTGAAATGGATGACTACCGCAGCAATGGTAGCAGTGGTACCGGTAGCAGCAGTAGGAGTTACTATGGAGGAGGAAGAGGAGGAGTCCAAAAGCCCCACTGGCAAAAGTTGGTTTTGGTGGGAGTCATTGTGGGAACCATTAGTTTGGGGATCTTCTTCAGGTCTTCCTCCACTGATACCAGTACTACCAGTACTACCACTAGTATGGCTGCTGAGTCCAGCTCTGATTATCCATCTTATCCATCCTACAGTTCCAATAATAACCAAGATACCTATGGATTGAGAGGAAACAACTACCAGTACAACAACAATAATAATGGAAATGGAAATGAAAATGAAAATGAAAAATACCATCAGAACCAAAACAACAACAACAACAACAACTATGACCATCACCATGACCATGACCATGATGGTTTCCATAACCCCAACAACCCACATGACAAACAACAGCCACACCATCCCCATGACCAACACCCATTTGATCTCAACAGTCCAAACAACTGGAATCCAAGTAATAAGCCACACAATCAACCACATGATAATCCATGGGATCCTGTATACAACAACAATCCTGCTCACCCAGTCATTCAACTGGATCCTGAACCTACCATTACCAATACCAACACCAACATTCATCCCGCTGAAACCATCCAAAACAGTAACAATAACATTGACATTAATCTGCATCCTCCTCAAAATGTTGTTCAAATCAATTCCACCAAACCATCCCATGTACCCAACAAATTGGCTCCTTACAACACTGAGACTACAACCACTTCCACAACCACAACTACAACTACAACTGAAATCCCTCCACCTGAATACACACACAACAAAAACGGCAATTTGACCTTTGAAATCATTCCAGACCAGGAATCACAGTCACAGACTCAACAAGCAGAAGGAACTGAAGAGGAATCGGAAGAAGAAGAGGAATCTGATGAGGAAGAAAGCGAAAGTGTAAGCGAAGAAGAAGAAGAAGCTGAAGACGAGTGGGAAGACGAAGAAGAAGAAGAAACATCCACAGAAACCGAGACTACGACAGAGGGTGGACAAGATGTCACCACAACCACAACGACCAAAGAAGAAGGAAACGAATGGTTCGTTGAAACCACCACCACGGCACAGACAGAAAAGAATGGAAACATTACCGTTACTCGTGCGTCTCCTCAGGACGAGGTCCAAGAACACTTGGTCGACAGCAACAGCAACAAAGACTACGATCCCGCGTCCGAATTGCAAATGCCTTCCAAAGCGAACGTACAACAACAGCAACAGCAATCGCCTGAACCAGAAGGATCCGATAGTGACGAGGAAGGCGGAGACAGCAATGAGCAGTCGGAAACTGAACAAGACGAGACAGACGAGAGTTCGGGTGGAAAATGGTTTGAAGGAGGTGCCGAGCCTGCAGGCGACAACACCAACCACGAACAACAACAAGACGAAGCAGTGGAGACGGAATCGACAGAAGAACAAGAGGCGGATAACGAAGCTCCGATTGTATACGAAGGAGAAGACGGGAAAGAGCTTGACATGATTGGACAAACCGGATACGATCTCGTAGAGGAAACGGAGGAAACTCCCAAGGTAGACGTCGAACCAGCTGACAACCAAAACGATGAAGCACCGGAAGACGGCGAAATAGAAGAAGAGCCCGTAGTGGAGGTCGAGGTGCCGGAGAAACCACAGCAAGACGAAAAACAACAACAACAAGCAGGCGACCAAGACGCTTCCGAAACCGAACAAGATGTCGAAAAGGAAGAAGAAGAGTCGGAGAACAAACCCGCCGACAAGAAAGCGTCACTGGAGGCCCAGAGCGAAGTTATCGAGGAAGAAATTGAGGAGCTTGACCAGGAGCTCCAACAGAATGGAATCGGAGGAGAAGATGGTCAAAAAGCGGAAGAATCATTGGCCGCAGCTTTGCAAGATCTGGACACACTCGACGAAGAACTGGAGCAAGAGCTTGAAGGACTAGACGAGCTCGATGAAGAAGGAGAAGATGGAAACGAGGATGGTCAAGGCGAGGACGAATCTTTGGCCGCAGCGCCGGAAGATCTCGGAACACTCGAAGAAGAACTGGAGCAAGAGTTTGAAGAACAAGACGAGCTGGACGAAGAAGGAGAAGACGAGGACGAAGATGGAGACGAAGACGGAGGCGAAGACGAAGATGGGGGTGGCCGAAACTAGATTCAACCGCGAAGGCGACGGTGACACGACTGGCTAGAATATCGTCTCGTCATAATGTACGATGTAATTCATAGAAAGGAAGATTGCATATGTCCATAGCGGCGCCTTGCTCGTCGTTCCCACTTCGCCACCATCGTTGCAGGCGAACCCTAGCAACCGTTGTGGAAATTCCAGCGCTGTGGCCAGCTTTTGAGGGAAATCCTGCATTCAGCATTCGGGCTACTAAGCGCTATGGGAAATCCAGTGCTGGGGCAACCCATTGTACCGGTAGGGATTGCATTGCTGGGGCTGGCTCATTGGAATTATATAGTGCTAATGCTGGGGCAAGTCATCGTGAGTCGAGCCATGGACTCTCCGATAATAGTAGACTTGAGTCTTTTCTCCAGTGCTACCGGTAGGGCCAACTGTTGTTGGAATTCCAGTGCTGGGGTGAGTCCTTGTAGGAAATGAAGTGCTGGGGCCAGCTTTTGAGGCAAATCCAGCGCTGGCTGGGGCAAACAGCTTGAGAAATCCAGTGCTGGGGTCACGACCTCCACCATCCCATGCACCGAGGCGAAACCAAACCAACTCAACCCTTTGTTTTGCTATGATCAGTCGTGGATACGTACTCGCCAACTTGTACAAGGAACTTGCAATTGAGCCATGGCAGCCAATAGCCAGAAGAAACAAGACAACAGCAAGAATAAGAAGAACAAAAAGATGGGCATGGCACGAACAGCAACACCAGGATCGCTCTCCGTAGCCTACGAGCCAGTGCCATCACTGAGCCAGGAAAGAGTTGGTCATGTCTACTGGAAGAAGCTGAGTGCGAGGATCTTTTCCTGCATTCTCCTATTCGTTTCCTCCGTTGATCTCTTGAACTTTTCTGTTTGCCATCACCGGCACGGGATATCAACCCGAAAAGTCTACTGGCCTTGCTGATTGTGACTCCGATGATGATTTCTTCGAGTCGGTTGGTCACGTGGACTGCGCCGATGCGGCCATTGAGCAGGAGATGCACACTTGGCAACCTCGTTACTCTTACTTCCAATTGGCCATTAGCGTTCCGGGTTTCTTGGTTGGTCTCTTGGGAATTCGAGTCAGCTGTTCTGCTACTACCGGTAGCGGTATGGACAACTACCAGCTTGCCAAGCGCTACATGCAGGGGACCATCCTCGTGGGCATTGCCTGGTTCCTTTACAACTAGTGGCTCACCGTGCGCTTTGACAAGGAATATGATCTCCTAAAAGCAGCAAAGCAGAAGACCAACCTGGAGTACTATTCGAACGCATCGGTTCTCATGATTCCTTCCATTCTTGTTTGGGTATTGTGCTGTCTGCAGGCTTTGAGATTCCAGTCCACGCTTCAGGAAGTGGGAGCTTTCGTGGATCAAGATCATGAAGAGGATATCCCCACCGCGCTGGATCCCCGGGATATTGAACTCACGTACGGTACGCACCCGCTGGAAAAGGAAGGACCACCAACACCCAAGCTGAATGAATCGATAGAATAGTAATAGTCCGGTTCGTGAATTGAGCGCGAGTACTATGCAAAATAGATTCGAGGTCCAGCTCTTGGATACCGTACATACAAAGGACAAGTCAATGATTCCGTCGCTGCATGCACCGTCGTTTAGGCACTCGTCATCATTCGACACTGGCACACTCCCAGTGGACAAGTCTTGCTCAATCAAGACCCTGAACACAATTTGACCTCGAGTGCGGACATCACATGACCTACTAAAGAGCGTCCAAGGACGACCGGGTTCAAATTTGTGCCCCCGATCCGAAAGACTTCCCACGGGTGGTCATGATTGCTTTGCTGCAGGACAACTGCGGGAAACGAGCGTACAAAATTCGTTGCACCGGCGGAAATATATTGCTCGATGATGACATGAACACGTGGATGCAGCGTACTGATTCGAATGCTACAACCGAAAAGAGGAGGAATACAGCAGCGGCTCAGTTCCCCAAGTCATTGGCACCATCAAGTTATAAGTATCCTTCCATTGAAACAGGAAAGGCTGACGACGAAGTGGCGGGTTCCATGGCACAGAAGAAACAGACCCATACCGGTACACCAACAGACATCGAGCCTGTTGTACTCGAACGCGAGGAATCAATCCAACCGGCAACCAGTCCCAGGCCAACTTGAAAGACAACCTCAGTCAGTGCCACGGTCTGGCACAGCGTGGATACGGCCGTGGAGATCCCGGGTCGTTCGTTCGTCGCTCATCCAAAACGCCCAATGAGCCGAGTCGAGTCGAGTCACCTGTTATTGACGGGACTGAAAATAGCACTCAATCGCGATAGTCGAAGATTGAGAGAGCTTTGAGAGCAGCACACAAACACTCTTCTCCTTCTATCACCAGAGTCGAGTCCACTATACTATAGTATACCATGAGTGCTAGTGGTATAACTCTAACAGGTTTTGTAGTGCTGCTGCATGCAGCTTACAGTTGTCTCCATTTCAAGAGTTTACTTCAAGAATTGGATATCAGCATTGATGCCGCAGCGGAAGGAGGACGTTCGGTACCTCCAGCGGATGTCTGGGTAGAATGTGGCATTGGACTTGTAATTGTGTTTTTGGGTCAACTATTGGGACCAGGTGCTGGAACCTGGCAGCCTTGTCTCACTACTACAGGAGCAAGTGGAGTCAAAAGACGACCTCTGGTGGCACCGGCTCATATTTCCCGTGATTTTGATATCTATGCGGACCGCTCCAAGGCTGTGGCAGCCATCAAGAAAGGCATCTGAATTTGATTGATTTGATTGGAAGGCAAAAAGTCTGTTGGATTGTGTAGCCGTTCACTTTTACTTTTGTCTACGATAACACCATAGCCACGTCCACAAACAATTTTAAAAGATATCCTACACACAAACAACTAAATTTTTACAACCATGCTCAATCCTCTGGAAAATCCTGCCCACTGCTAAAGCGTTGCCTTTTTCTATTCAAGTCCATGCATAGAATGGATAGAATTCAATGGACAAGCTTTTCTCCTTTTGTGGGCACAATTTAATACGGGTACCATGGGCCAGTGGCCTAGTTCTTGAGCCCCTTTGACCTCCCCCAGGCACATAGTAGCATGTTTGTTCTCTCATCTCATGGACATTCATTCATTTTCATGAGCAAACTGGATCATTTCCAAATTTCCATGCTTTGCAGCAGCAAAACAAGTACGTTCATCCCATGTCATGCCTGAAAACCTTCGTTGTGAGCACCCTGATCTTCCCATGTTCTTTGTAGATTTGATCGAGTGTTTTCCTAACAGCTGCACGGTAGATCTCACAAAGAAATGCCGTACCGTACCGGTACGGTACAGAGCAGTGACCCATGCCAAGAAAAGGGAAGATCTTGCCAATCCAGAAAGAGTCCATGGACAATCCAGAAGTGCCCGTTGCTTTGCCAGTACCGGTACTGGTGGCAGTAGCAGTGACGAACTCAGACGAAGACATGACTATAAATATAGCTAGCTGGTGGTGGTTCGAAGGCTGGCTAGCTAGACCCTACATGATTGATTGGTCATCATTTGCCTGAATTGAATCATCCATCGCTGCGGACAAAGATGCATGGCTGATCTTGAGCGTGGAAAGATTCTGTAACCCCAATGCCGTTTACTTTGTATTCTATTCGCTTGAGGTTATGTGGTTCGTGTTTTCCATGGTGGTCAGCAAGATTTAAGAAAGTCATTGTGACATTTCTGATTGATGCGAACGATGACCGTGGCATCAGATTCTTTCGCTTCCGGCCCTCGCAATCGACGCCATCACTTCAAGTTTTCGTGCGGAGGTTAAATTTTGATGGGTTTCATAAAGTGAGAAAGACGAAGCACATGCAGTAGAAGTGCAGCCATAGCATGGGGTACTCGTATGCATATCTGTATCCACAAGTCTGGTTACTTACTAGTACCTTATCCCTCCTGTGGCGAACAGGTTCAGGTTCAGGTTCAGGCATCAGTCAGAGTGACATTGTTGCAGTTCTTCCTGATCGCAGTACTGCTTATTCCATTGGCTTGTTCAACGGTCTAGTCTATACGGCCAATCGCCTAAATTTGACTTTGCAGGTTCTCAGCTATGATGCTACTACTACTAGTAGTAATAGCAGTAGTAGTAGTGCTACTGGTACCAGTAGTAAAGTGCTGACTGAGCTGATTGAAAGTAAGAAAGAAGAGCTACCCAAGATTTACCTGATTTGGCCTCAGTTGGACCAGGCAGAACTACTGCAGCAATTGTGGGAGACTCACAGTGTCCCCATCATTCAACTCCATGAACTACCTGCTCAGGAGTGGGAATGGAATCATCTACTAGGATTTGTGGGACCTGATGAATGGACCAAGGCAAAAAATGCTGGATTCATGATGATTCAGGCGCTTCAAACCTTTTCAAGCACAAGAATAATACCCAATCCCCAGGTGGTGGCTCTGGGATTCCCTCAGACCAGCACTTCCTACCAATTGGCCATTCAAGGCTTTGAAGCTGCATTGGCCACTCAGCCAGATATCACCTTGCTCAGAAGAATACCACTCCAAGATGGAGCAGGATCACAGGCGGCCTATGATGCTACCTTGCAATTGCTAGATGCCATGTCAACGGACGACACAACTAGTAGCACCAACTCAGTGCAGGGCATTTACTGCATGGACGATATCATACTCATGGGAGCCTATCAAGCCATTCAAGATCATCCAGACTTTACCACGGAAAACATTACCCTCGTGGGGACATCTTGCAATGGAGCTCGAGAGCTGCTCACGACCCAACAGCAATTTGGAACCACCGTCGAAGGACCCTTTTGGGAGGGAGAATTGGCCATTCTCACCGCTTTCGAGTATATTCAAACGGGGACACTCCAATCACCCTTTGTAAGATTCACACCGAATCCCAGCATTACCGTCGACGATCCATGGCAAGACGAATCATGGCTCATGGACTTTTTGGGACAGTCCTACACGGTCGATTCGGTCTGCACATGGTCGCTCCATTACGACGATCGGGTAGCAGGATTGCAGAGTGTGGATGTCGTCGACGATATCTGCACTGTCATTGACTGTGTCCATGTCCCGCAAGGCATCCACTATGCTGGACTCGTCTTGTGTGGCTTGAATTATGTTCTGGCCATTTTTTGTACCCTTTGCTTGTTCCAGCACTTGTTCTGGAGTAATAGCAGTGGAGCTACTGGCAATAATAGCAATCAACCCCTCTTTCTCCTACTGGTGGTCGCCGGTGCGGTCGTTTGCAACACGTCCATTATTTTCTGGTCCCACCGAAACGACAATCCACAATCCACGGTCGACATGGACTCGCTCCACTGGGACTGTCTATTGGTTCCTTGGACGCTCGTGTTGGGACACTTAATGACCATTGCCTTGTTGCTGGCACGCATGAAACAAGTCGAAACGACCCGCACCGACTTGCAAAAAACAAAAACAAAAACAAAACAACCAGTATTACCGCGACCGCCAAAACCAACCCTACCGCAGGAACAAGAACAAGCTCCACCAGAACAATCCATAGAGCAACCACAAGCTCCAGAACAAGCAATAGAACAACCACAACCACAACAATCACAGCAGGAACAACCAATGGAAACGCACGAGGATGAACCTACGACTGCAGTCATTATTACCATCAGCATGAAAGAAATCGCCAGTGACGTACTGCTCCTGGCAATGTTGGATGTGATTGTCTTGACCGTATGGTCCGTGTACGATCCATTGCAATGGAAATTCACCGCCACGGAATGGGACCACAATGGATACATTGTCCAAGCCAGTGGACAATGCGGCGTCCAAAACGATTGGTCCTTATTGATTCCGTTGGGCATTGCAGTCTTTCATTTGACAATACTCTTGTATGGAAATGTACTATCGTATCAAACCAAGGAGTGTCACAAGCACATTGTCGGTGGTGGCATTCGTGGCATTGTCGTGGCCCTCTTTCTCGCCTTTCAACTATTGCTGGTAACGACGCCGGTCCTGGTGGTGGTGCAAGTGTACAATGGCAGTGTCTCGGCGTCGTACTTGATCAAAGTGTGCTTTGTCTTTGGTCATTGCATGTCGATTCTACTGTCGGTTGTGGTGCCTCGAGTACATTGGTATCTCGGCGGCGAACGACAAGTCGTGTGGGCTGACGACACCAAAAAAGAGGAGAAGCAAAGGGTTTTGAATGCCATTCTTGCAAGTGGTGGAGGTAATGCCGAAGATGGTCAGGGTCGACCTACAATCGTGGAGGTGGGTGGGTTTCACATGGTATCCGACGGAGAATCTTCGGACGGATTCGAACTCCTGCGTAGCAAACGAAAGAGTGGCAAAGATGATGGGAACGAATCCAGCGACGACTCGTCGACGGATGAAGTCGACAAGGATAGCAGCCAGGAGAAAACGCCGCCGGATGATGCCCAAATGCAACAATCTGTGACCGCCATCACGACCGGGATCACCGGAACGGTCAGCTGTAGCAGAGACGTCATTCAAGGCGACGACGACAACGCAAATGTGGACACGAACAATGACACTAATAATCAGAATGACGACAACAACGACGGCAATAACGATTCGGAATCGGAGTACGAAGAAGATCTCGATGATGGAAAGGACAATGACAGCGAACGACGGTGCGATGACACACACATTCAATCTTTGACGACCGCGACGGACGACCGGTCTCGTGATGGATTTGCCATCCCGGTGATCGAGATCGACTCTGCTTCGAACGATCACGACCTGTTCTTTCTTGGCGAGGAATTGGCTTCGATGTTTGGACGCAATCGACAGGAATCTTACCTTGACGACGAAGAATGATGATGTTGTACACTACAAGTAAAATCTTTATGGAACGTAATGTTATTTGTATGATGCTATTGCTAGCCTTGGAGCTATACTCGATGCATGCTTCTGTCTGTCTCTCAATCGGCAATCCGACGTGAGATCCAAAGAGTCCGATTGTCCTCTCAGGCCCGACCCCGACCACCAAGAAGGAGGCCAGGGAATGGATGAGGTCCCAATGCCAGGAGCTCATTGTGCAAGGTCAAAAGCTCGGAGAGCCGTTGGAGAACAGTGATAGCTTCAGCAGCAACGAGGCCATAATCAGAAACAACAAAAGGAGTGAAGTGGTGGCATAGTGCAGTGCACTGAGCCAGGTATACTTTGTCTTCTTAGCCTTCTCACGCTGGGAAAGGCTGTCAGGAACAGGGGTGGTGTGATCTTTGTCTTCTTTGCTTTCTCCTGAACAGTCCACCGTGTTGTGGAGTCTTGAGCTCGACTTGACTGCCAAGAGCCATACCCAATTTGCCACACCCGGAAACGGTTCAAAAGAGGTGTATAGATAGATAGATCAAGAAAACGAGTTTTCAAGGATACTCACTCGTAATGGTCCTCGTCGTCATGTCGCTTGCATCCCAGTTTCGATTGATACAGAAAGCCATGCCAAAGTGCCAGCACTGCAACAAGCCATTGCAAGCCACTAGAGCCTTGGTTCTCCCTGATGCATATAGGGGTGTATCGAGTTACTGGTTGCGGATCCACGAGTATCAGATGATGATTATTTGTTTTTCGACAATAATCCAACAGCTGAGCGCCGGAAACGATTGGTTCCCATTGTTTCCTATGCAGATTTGAACACAGGCAAAGGATATCCTGAAGCAGGCAAGAGCTACAAGAAAGGAATAAAAAAAACGTATGTTCTACCGATTGTATTGTACCTTGATGGTGCCGACACTGGAGCAATGATGAGTATGCCTGTCACTGCTGTCAAGATGGGCCTTGGTATTCCCACATGAAAGTACCAAGATCAAGACCAGGCCTGGAGAGTGTTGGGTTTTGTTGCCTCAGTCAAGAAAGCAAAGGCCAAGGGTGGAAAATTCTGAAGCAATCAGGTCAGATTGCTGCCTACTACCATGGAAGAGGAGACGGCAGGAGGAGGCCAAGAGGACGAGGAGGAAGAAAGCAAAATGTGGCTACGGATCAATATGCTGACCACCTCTGGATGGGAGGCTTTCCTTTCAGGTGTCAGCAAGTGGATGAGTTATACTACATGTATGTAGTAACTCACCGTGATCTGAGGAGCAATGTGGATCCATGTACAGGAATAAGGTTCCTCTAGCGTCCAGTCAGAACCACCCCTTCCCTCTGTTCCCGCCCCTACTATCCCTGCCGGTCACCCAATTTCTACCTTACCTCCCCTTCCTCCCCCCCCTCTCAATCCCCCTCCAGCCCCCGAGCTCTTACGTGGTGATCTTTCTATTCGCGGCTTGTTTGAACGAGGTACTACAGCTATTATTGACGTCCGCGTCACTGATTTGGACTGTGCCTCTTACCGCAACAAAGATCCCATCAAAGTTTTAACCCAACAAGAACGCGACAAAATTTCCAACTATAAAGACGCGTGCGAGTCCAATCGCGCTTCCTTCCACCCCTTTGTTGTTTCAGTGGATGGCATGCTTGCCCCTCAAGCCAAGACTCTCTTACAACGCCTTGCTTCTGCTACTGCCTCCAAAACTCAATTTTCCTACTCTCAAATGATGTTCTTCATGCAGACCCGTATCTCAATTGCCCTTGTGAAAGCTACCCATTTATGTCTCCGTGGATCCCGCAAAACCAAACCCTTTGCCCCCCGTAATGGTCCTCAATTTCTTGCCCCTGATCCCTCAGAACCTAGTCCTAAATTTCGCCTGTTCTTTGCTTAAGCCTGGCCCCGGCTGGCTTCCGTAGATAATTTCCCTACTCTAAACCCCTTTTCGATAAGGTTCTGGCCTGAGGCCACCTGGCCCTGGATCCTGCTGGGAATGGGATCTTTACAGGCACCACCAGCATTCATGAGCCATTGCTTTACTCTGTCAGTGCTTTACTGGCTAGCTAGTAGCTAGTAATCAGTCAGTGCTTTACCCAATACTGCTTTACTCAAGTTACAGGGACTGTGTCAGGAAAACAAAGTCAGAGTGGTTGGATCTGAGACCATAGTCAGCCATCGATATAGCAAGCACACAGAGCCGCACAGCGTACTAGCTAGCATAGTGTACCAGTACCGTAGTGGCAGTCACCCTTTGCAAAAAATACAACAGCTGTGCAGGCTTCGTAAACCAGAATCTTTTTGAATTTCGAGCCAGGAACTTTTGAAATTAGTAGTCAAGGCTGGCGTTGTCCCTGGTGGTGCTGTCATTGCCATCCACAACAAGGGCTCGAGCCCAATTCTTTTAACTTACCACAATACTCATCCACAACAAACAGTCTACCACCCTCTGTGCACCATGTTCTCGCTCCCGACAAGGCTCTCCCTGCCAACCAAGCTCTCCCTGCTACCAAATCCATATTCGAAGCTACGCTGGAGTCAGACTTTCTGCCATGAAAAAACTCACACGAACCCGGTCCTATGGCCTGATGGTATTGATAGCGTCCATACCATCTTGGGCGGACAGAGCGGTTCAACCTGTGCAGTAAAAGTGTGTGGGAAGGAGACTTTGGTGTATGTGGACAAGTATGGTGCTGTTGGAATCCATGAGCTGAGGGTTGTGTGGGTGTTTGGGTGGTCAATGAAAATTGCCACAATATGAACAAGGGTCTCATGGGCAGTGTTTTTATTAGTTGCCGGTACAAGATCATTGGAATTATTCACAAGATTCAGGGATGCAAGGCCATCGTTGAAACTGTTTACCCTGCTCCTAAGAATTCCACCCAGCAATTTTGGGTCATGCCAATGGATCATGAGTTGTATTATCTTGAGCAAATTGGTGGCTTTTCCATTGGAGTTCCATTCACGGCTCGGCCCAAGCAATATAATGATGACGGAAGGATCAAACCTCTCACTGACACTCAAGGCTTTGTGAAGTTGAGCGTCCATGGACCAGATTTGGTTCAGCCATCGTTCATGGATGCAGATCACTTCAAACAGGTCAGATGGGAGCTCCGACACAAGCTTCAACACATAACATGTGGCTACCCCGATGGAGGCAGTGGAAGACAAGGGCCGCCTACAAATGCATCGTGCCGAGTTTGCTGGACATGGAATGAGGCCGCAGCTCATCCGTGTGTGCCATGCACTGGAAACGGCAGCAATACAATTTGCTTTCAAAATGAATCTGGAAGGCATGAAGCTGACAAATCATCTGCCAGGTCTCAACATTGCCACCTGTGGTTTTAGGAAGGGTCTGGAGGGACAGAGCCCAGTGAGTCAGCCGCCCCAAAAGAAACAAAAATACAACAACTCCCAATGCTTGGAGACACGCAAGCCACACTCACCTCGTCAGCTGGTGTACGGATTTTGCAACACTAGCCACATCGACAGCAAGGATCAGCTCACGGCTTTGCAGCAAAAGGAGCTGCACATGAGGGCAGCCGACTTTGGGTTGGACCCCCAAAAATATCCAGGACTTCCCACCACATGTGCCTGACAATTTGTCTTTCGACACGACAATGCAGCTGACAAGTTGACGATTCATCAGCATTTTATCATGCATGGCTTGGGAGTTGCAATGCCAATCCGTCATGGTCTTGGGCATCATTTCTATGGTGGCATCTTTGAGCACAACACCAGTCTTTGTTTGGTCCGGCGCAAATTGGATGGCTTCGTCTCGCTTACCAATGATGAAGACCATTTCATGCTCTTTGCTTGGGGGAATAGCCCAAAGATTCCCAAGAGAGAGATTCAGCTGTTGCTGCAGGAAGCGGCAGTGCCTTTGGTGGTTGATGGCCAAGTGGTGCCTGGAAATGATACTGCTGTACCCGCGGCCGATTTGCCACCCCCTCCTGCTTAAAATAGTACATGATTATTGCTCCTTTGTTGGCACATTGCTTTGAGTACTAGTATTGTACTGCCTTGTTGATGTCGTTGGCTTGTTGGCTTGATGTTGTTGGCTTGATGTTGTTGGCTTGATGTCGTTGGCTTGATGCATGCCCTTTGTTTGCTTCATTTTTTTGCTGTGTTTTTTGCTGCCAGCCAGTGTCAAGAACTCCATGGAGCCTCATGCCCTTTCCCACCATCCTAGCTATGCATAGTAGCTCGGTGCCGCGATACCGTACCTTGTCCGATAGAGACCACAGTCACAAAGGGGGAAAGGAAAAATGATGCTTGCATGTGGTGTGTCTCGAAGGTAGGGAAGATCAAAATAGAGAAAGGTGCAACGCAACTGTGATGGCTTAGGTTAAATTTACAGGATCGAAGATCGATCGAAGTCTCATTTTTGTTTGCTTGCTTCGACGCTTCGACTACAACCGTATTGTACTCGTATAGTCTTGGTCTGAGCTTCTCTCCATCCATTCAACTTACTAGTAGTCTATGTTGAGCAGCCAGCTAGTATAGTTGGCTCTTGCAATATCAATAAGTGAGGGTGCATTGAAACAGTAGAAATCATGGGCTGGTTTGAACAAAAGGAATTTGCGCACTTTGGCGAGCATCTCGCGGGCACGTTGTTTTACGGTGCCATTGGCGGATCCATGCTGGCATTGACGTATGTTCGTCTGAAAGCCCTTGCCATTCCAACGTCACGTAGTGGTGGCAATGACAGCACCAGTACAAGTATTAATAGTACCAGCAGAAGTATCTATGCTACCTTTGCCGACCGTCATATTCCGGAACGGTCGTTTGCCGTGCTAAAAGCAGGGGGGCTCTTTTTGATGACAGCCTCATTGGGTGGTTTTGTGGCGCAAATGATTGGATCGACTTACTTTTTTGGAACTCCCTTTGCGCCTGGTCCTCTGGTCAATGAATTCCACTTCATGTGCTACTTTCCCATTGGATTTGCCGCCTACTGGGAATCCCGCCACAGATTGCCACTCGATTCCGCCCGGACCGTCTTGGCATTGATGCTCCTGATGGATGGTATTTTGGTGATTGAACGATGCGAGCATCGAGAACGAAATGTGTTTCGCAAAATGCACATGATTTGGGCTGGTCTCATCCTTTCCATTTCCATTGTCACGGGATACTCGGTCCGAAACCCCACCAATGTCCCTGCGTATGTCACGGGATGGGCACTTTTTGTCGTCATGGCCATCTGGACGTTGTTCATCCCCTACGTCAACTGTTGTGTCGATACCAAGGACTACACCATCATGGCCTTTATGGCATGGTTGTTTGGAATCACACTCTTTTCGGTCTTGTACGTTGCCGTCTTCAAGCTACCTCCCTTTCATGCCAATAAACACATGAACGAAGACAACCAGCAATCCAATGAATCCGTTGCTCTGGTCGGCAGTTGACATTGACAACATATACATGTAGTAAACACATTGCGGTGCTGCTCAGCTATAAAAATATTTGTCTTTCTTACTCACGCAACATCGAAGACGTCGTTTCTTCCTTCCTCCAATCCTCGTGCATGAATGAATATACAGCCTTTTGCTAAGTACTGTATTTTTGTTTGTTTGCATGATATCTATTATATTATATTCCAGTTGGAATTTCTCGTAACAACCAGAATCCTGCGGGATCACTTTCATCGTCCTTTTGGACACTGACAAAATGCAATCCATTCAATGCATCCTTGCCTTCTTCAAATGCGGCTCCTTCCATGCGCTGGACATCATCGAGGCGTGCCACTAGATATTGTGTATCAATGTCGGTTTCCATGACGAGTTGTCGTTTTCGTAAATCGCACTTGAGTGCGACCGCTTCGGTTCCGGCCAACCAGGATGCCAATGCCGGTGCCCGTTGGGTCAAAATGACGACGCCTTGGACAAAGGCATCGGCGGGCAATGTAGGATCAATGGGACATAGTTTTCCCACCCCAATATTGTCTTGTGAAATATCTCCACCGGGCAAGAATTCGGCCAAGGGCAATCCTACGAATGCGTATTGTTCTCCTCGGAGGGCATCGGGTAGTTTGACGGGAGTTCGAACATCCATAAACGAAGGACCGGCCGCGCCAACCATGGAAGCTCGGTAGCTACCAAAAACACATAAACAAGACAAAAAGAAACACAAAAACAAAAAAGGTATGAATGGTAAGATCAGAAGATACAGAAATGGGTAAGATCAGATCAGGTTGCAAGTCCAATCAATCAATCCACACTTAAGTGGTTGTGCAAGACTTACCCCTCCATTTTGGGGTAAGTATCCCTGTGTCGTTCTTCTAGCCACTGTCCCAACGCAAACGTACACCTAGAAGGTCTACTGGAAACATCTAGATCCGTGAGTGCAATGTTGATCATGTTGAACATGGCACCTCGAAAGAATCTTATAATGGACGGCGCTTCTAGATCGTACTGATCGACGTAGTCTTCCACCATGGTTTCCACGGTGGTTCGCAGCTGTTTGGAGTTGACCTGATTGCTGGGCAATGTCTTGACATAGCGAAAGGAACCCGTAGAATCCGTAATCAGCACTTCCCACAGTTTCTTGCCGTTGATCACCACGGGACGCGAGTAGCAGTCCAATTCCCACTCGTCGCTGGGGGTAGCCTCGGGAATGCGCGTAAATTCCACGCCGTCCGTCGTACCAGTAGAAGAAGCCTCAGACGGCGAAGGAGCTGAAAATAATTGTCTGGACTGATGTCTTGGTGAAACACTGAAGGGGCTAGAAGTGGTAAACGCCAGGGATGGACTTATTGCCAGACAAGCCAGAACCAATGCCAAGGGTATCAGGAACACCTGAAGTCGGCCCAATGGACCATGAGACACTGAAGAAGCAGAAGATACCATCTTGACTAAGATAACTCTAGCTAACTTAGCTAGGTAGAGTAAGATAAGTAAAAAGGGATCTGATCAGGATGGAGGTACCTATCGTTCCTTTCAAGTTGTTTGGAGCTTTTTCTTATCGTCTTATATCCAATTGGCAGCAACAGAGATATCATCGTGAACGACGACCCAAAGAATCGACGAAATCTTGCAGACCAGATTGAAGTCTGACCAAAGGCTGACGTCAGTTCCACTTGGAAGCAACTCTTGTAGAAGCCAGTGGAGTCAGCAAACATGTATGACATACCGGTACAGTACCTGGCTGGAAGAAATGAGTTGATACCAGTAGACTCGACTCACTCCATCCACAGCCAAACGACCGTTCTGCCATGCCAATGGCCATCGAGAAGAAACCCCTCCAGTGGATGGATGCCTTAGAGGTACGGTTTACTTTAGTTTGAGGTAGTGACACCTCCAACGATTAGACAGCTTTCAAAACAAAAACATCTTAGCTTGCTTGAATGGTTCAGTATCTATCTTGATTACCTTTATTGTGGAGCCGGTGCCATAATAAGATCATCTCTCACGCTTGACCGTCCATCGAGGCGCAGTACCTCGACGGATGCCATGCCTATCATACCGTTACGGTGCCTTGTACACGTACGGTACCATTAGTCGAGGGAGGAGTAGAAAACGGATGTGCATAGATTATCTATCCTGCTTCGAACGAAGGGAATCTCAGCCTACACACCTTGGAAATATCCTGTTGACGGCCAGACGAAACCTACATTTATGCATAGATCTGACCTTCGTCCGTGACAGCCATGCATGTGTGTGTGTATCTTGAAAAGTCGGAGAAGCCCAAACATCTATTCTGAGCAGCAATCTATTCATCAGCTCTGCAGTCATCCAATCACTGACAAGCAAGTAAAGCACGACGCAACAACAGCAACAACAACAAAAACCCCAACAAAATCAACTCGATCGCTTCTTTCGGTAGTTGTTCTCGTGTAAAGCTTCCTCCTTGGATCCTTCTGTTATTCTCCCATTGCGAGTAGAGACAGAAGCGTCCAAGCCCAGTACTCCCGTTTTTCGAAACCAGCCAAACAATTCCGAAGCTACCGATGATGCGCCTGAACCGAAAGTCGTCCAAGAGCAAAAACAAAGATAAGGTAAGCAAAGAAGCGACCGCCATGGTGGACCCGTCGTGTCGGCATTGTCTGTCTTGGTCATTCTCGTTAGGGTTAGGGTGAAAATGTCAGTGACGGTTACGAGCGTTAAGTAATGGGACTTGAAGCCTCTGTAACGGACGTGGAATGCGTGGCCGACCGGCTCGAACTGACGCCGAGCGACTTAGAGAGAGCGTGCAGAGAGAATGCTTTTCCCGCATTGGTTGGCATTTGGAAACTGCCGTCGTCACAATCTTGTTCCAGTGCGATCAGTCTAGATATTTCTGTCTTCGAGTAACAGAGGATGATAGAAACCGTCGACTGCTGAAGAAGTTTCTACCATCTACCATCATCCAGTCAAGTCAGTCCACGCAAGACAAGGCAGCGTCAAGAAAAGACAAGACCACTTCGCCCTTCACAGTCATCCTCCTTTCAAGCTACATAGCAAAGATAGACAATGACGTCTGCTTGTTCTCCTTCGTGCGGCGTTGGTGGGAATGGCGGAGCAACCTCTGCGTCATTTGAGGATGAACTTGGAATCTACGCGGAGATTTCTAGCTCTGCTTCCTGGTCTACGCCTACTCCTAGTTCTCCGCCGTTAGAAGAACATCCTTACGATGAAAGTGAGGCTGATTCGGCTGCCAAGGCGCTGCTAGATGAAACGGCTTTGGTAGACAGTGACGATGAAAATGACGTTCCTACCTCCAATTTGGCATTGGAACTCTCGCAAGACAGCGGTGAAGGATGCACCACAGTACTGGCGCCTTCGTGTCCTACATTGGAAGGACTCTTATGTGGGGGAAACTATGGAATGGACGACGCGGCTTCTACTTCCTTACCGCTGCAACGACACGTACATCACCACGTGCATCGACACGCACTCGAATGGCTAGATGACGAAGAAGCAGTCGACGAAATGCCACCGTTGCCCCTCTTTTTCACTACCCGCTTCAAGACACTAGATGCCGAACGCTCTGCTCAGCCTCCAGGCACTAGTACTACCATTACGGGCGATCCACACAACACCACCGTCACTGATCCATGCTACTCGGATTGGTACGACATGTTTGCATGGTTGACACTCGGAGGCTCCAATTCAAACAACGCTACTGCCTCCAATGCGCCACAACATTTATTTCTCCCATGGAATGGTCACCTCAGTCTAGGACCGGAACATCCATCCTTGGCCAGACGAATACGCCGCAAACGAAGACACAATATTGCTACCATTATGCCAAAACAAAAAGCTTCTTCTTCATTATTCCATCCAATACATCAGCAACAACAACAACAAGACAATTCACAACAACCACCACAACAAATACCACGCATTCTACGACCACTGCCCATTATCCCGGTCAATCAACCCGGACACGAAGACTGGGAAATGATCTTTCTTTCGGTGTGTTGCACATTACACGACAAACTCTTGTTGGAATCGTTCTTTGTTGTTGTTTGCTCTGTCGTTTTTCCAAACAACCATTTATTTTCCAGTGCTGGTACGCCTCTCATCAGTTTTCCTCTCTTGCCATTTATGTACAGAACGACGACCAGTCACCATCGAGCGACGCCAAAGGAAAACACGGCATCCGCCGTCCCCCGACGGCAACCACTTCCATGTCTATTCCCCAGGGTGTTTCTCCTTCCAATAAGAAAGATACGCACTCGGGAAAACACTCCAAAAAGGGTGCTGCAGGAATGGATTTGGATACTATTGCGGTGCGCACGCCGGGGGCCGATAGGTATGTACCAGCGAGGACCAAAGGTCCGAGCTCTGTTTTTCCCTGTTGGGGGGTGGTGGTGGGGGCGGCGGTGGTCAACTTGAAAGTTACTTTCAAGTCACTTGAAACCAACTTTCAAGTTACTCCAGTCACTTGAAAACTAGTTGAAAGTGCTTTCAAGTTACTCAAGTCACTTGAAAACTACTTTCAACCAACTTTCAATCCTTGAAAGCTACTTGTTCTAACTAACTCACCTCTCTCTTGATTCCTTCCATTTAATACTCAGGTCTGCCTTGAAGGAATTACCAGCTCTTCGAGATGCTCCACCTACCAAGCGCGAAGAACTCTTCATTCTCAAACTCAAGCTATGCTCGGTTATCTTTTCGTTTGATGACCCAACCGCCGACAAGCGTGGAAAGGATATGAAGAGACAGACCCTCCTCGAACTCGTCGATTATGTCAATACGCCCGCTGGGCAAAAGATCTTTACCGAATCGGTCATGTCGGATCTTATGGCCATGGTGTCGGCCAATGTCTGTCGTGCCTTGCCTCCTGCCACGGATGACTTTGATCCAGAGGAAGATGAACCTGTTCTGGAACCCGCTTGGCCTCATCTTCAGGTGGCATACGAATTCTTTCTCCGATTCATTGTCAGTTCGGAAGTCAACGCCAAGGCCGCCAAGAAGTACGTCGACCAAAAGTTCTGCCTCCAGCTTGTGGAATTGTTCGACAGTGAAGATCCTCGTGAGCGTGATTACCTCAAGACGATTCTTCACCGTATCTACGGAAAGTTCATGTCGCACCGCTCCTTTATCCGTCGTGCCATCTCCAACGTCTTTTACCGCTTTGTCTACGAAACCGAGCGCCACAATGGAATTGGAGAGTTACTCGAGATTTTGGGATCCATTATTAATGGATTCGCCATTCCTCTGAAGAAGGAGCACTTGCAGTTCTTGGTCCGGGCCTTGATCCCTCTTCACAAACCCAAGTGCGTGGCTCTCTACCACCAGCAGCTCTCGTACTGTATCATTCAGTATGTCGAGAAGGATGCCGACACGGCCACTCCCATACTCAATGGCTTCTTCAAGTGCTGGCCCTGGAGCAGCTCGGCCAAGCAGGTCATGTTCCTCAATGAGCTCGAAGAGATTCTCGAGTTGTTGGGTGCCGACCAGTTGGCTCAAGTCTCTACCATGCTCTTTACCAACCTTGCTCGTTGCTTGGATTCGGATCACTTCCAGGTCGTGGAGCGTGCTCTCTTCTTGTGGAACAATGAGCATTTGGTCAACTCGGGATGCTTGAGCCGCCTCAACGCTCAGACGGTTCTTCCCATTATCTACCGTCCCCTCTACAAGAACTCGGCTGGGCATTGGAACGCCACTGTTGAGGGTCTTGCTCAGAACGTCTTGAAGATGTACATGGAGTACGATCTTGTCTTGTACGACAAGTGCGCCAAGGCTTACTACCGCGAAGAAGAGGAGGCCAAGCGAAAGCTCGAGGCCCTTGAAGCCCAGTGGTCTGCTGTCGAGCAGACTGCCGCTGCCAACATGCCGGCTCTCATGGCCAAGTAGAAAACAAAAACATAAAAATCCCGTGCGCGTTTGCTTCTTTCCGGTCCATCAGAGTCCCTTGGTGCCGTGATGGCCACTTTTGCGGAGCTATTATTCATCGAATCTTACTTTTCCATAGCCACTAATACTAACGTGTAGCTGAAGCATACAATGTTCGCTCTTGTGTAGTTTAGTTGCCTTTCTAGTTACCGTACTTTGTTTGTCCATTACACAGGCCACACCTCATTCGCTTTCACACCGTCCAGTCGCCTCCAAGTCTCAGAAACACTCCATCGCATTCTGCCATAGTCTCCTCTCCAGGAAAACGGAAAACATCCTTTGCCCTCCTTAGACACGATGGCTTACTTCGACCACGTTAAAAAGGACGTAAAGGTTTGGTAGGCCGCGACAGCCCACCCTCGAACTCTTGGAAGGACACGTTCAACACACTTGTTGGCCAGCCTCAGCAAATACGGGTAGAGAAAGCGACCTGCCCCGTAAGCGCAGGCACCAACGAGCAAAATCATCGCGATGATAATGAGTTTCTTCCTCCAACCTTGATCTTGACCAAACCGTTCTTTCGTTGTCTTGATCCACTCTAACGGTTTATCAAGCCAACTCTTTGGTTGCTCGTTCTTGGATTGAGCCTTGTCAATTTCCAATCCAGCTTTAGTTGCTGCTCCGACGCAAAGCCGCGGCCAACTTTCATCATCCAGAGGTTTTTCTGCGGAGTCTTCTGAGGCGTCTTCAAAGTCACCACCATTTGTAGCGACAGATACGCCATCTGCATCATCAGCTGGTGCAAGTCCTGGACAGGTGTCCTCAGCATTGGTACCCTTGACCATGGGAGTCGGAGAAGGATCATTGGAAGTAGCCACGGCGTTCTCAGAATTAGGCACGTTCGAGCTGAGGATATGGTGATCATTTGACTCGGCTCGAAGTCTGGTCTCAGGTGGAAGTTGTTCGCCTGTGCTCGGCATGACTGCTTCAGTTTCAGCCAAGCCAGGAGCGCCGTCTACTTCTTCAGGAGCCGGCTCGACAACTTCAGAGCCAGGCTCAACCTTGTCTTCTTGATCGCTGGTCAATTCAACCAAAACCAGGTCATCAGTATCTTCAGAGGCCATCGCAACGTTTCCTGGGGCAGCAGCTGGAATGGCAATCTCAACACGTTCTTTGGCCACAGAAGAATTGTCCACGACATCTGCAACCGTAAGGGGCTCTGGGGTTGAATCTTCAGCATGGCCTCCTTTGGGTAAGAGGGGGTCGTCAAATGCAATCTGCCCTACACTAGGGCCTGGCACAACGGCATCATTCGAATTGGCAAAAGGGACCAGGATGTTTCTGCCCGCAAGAGGCTCTTCAGTGATTGCAAAGTTCTGCTCATTGTCTGGTTGAACATTGGGTGCTTCTGTTTGGGGAAGCTCTTCTGTACAAGCCTCCGACGACCCAGACGAGCTAGATTCGGAATCACTCTCGTAGCCATCGAAGTCATTACTGGAAAGCTTCATGAAATCCTCAGGCCTTTTTGGCCTGGATTCTTTTGGCATTTTACGAATCCAACGAGCAAAACTGTTGAGTTTGGTCTCAAAGCCGACCTTGATTTTTAGCCTAGCCATGCTAGCTGACCTGGTTCTTGCAAGAGTTTTTGGATCTCTGATGGCCTGCTCTTTCAGCTCCTGATAGAGCTCTTCAAGCTCATCATCTTCTTGCAACTGTAGGACTGCTTCTATGATGTGGCGAAGTGCTGGGTCTGCATCAACCCTGGCAGAAGAAGGGTTCTCCACCATGGTAGCCTCGTCTGCGTCTGGTAGGCAACCAGGCAGCAAGAGACAAGAATAGTGTGACAAACCAAAGATGCACCAGAATTCAGAAAATAGAAAGATCTGCTTTGCACGAAAACCTCAACTTGACACGAGATATCCACACGGCGGGTTGTTCGGGGTTCCTCTCGATCGAGTTTGGTGCCTTGCCAGGCTACAAATTTGAAAAAGTGCAGGCTGGTCGAAAGTGCCGACCAAACGAAAATTTCAAACCGGGCTCTATTCTTCAGCGGATCAGGAGGTAGTTATGCATTCCAGGACACGGATGTTGAAGAATTCTCTATTTCGTGGTTGAAGCTACCATACTAGCTAGCTAGCTAGCTACGTAGCTATGATAATCAGCAAGCAAACAAGCAAAACCCATTCACGTCAAACAATCATGCAGGACTCCCAGGCCGTCACAAGAAACGCTTTGCACAAAAAGATGTGTGCACGTAAAAGCATAGCGGTAGGGCCTGCACCATCCCATGCAGGAAGAACGAGGGCTCAAGGCAAGGAGCGGCATCATGGATACATCCTGCCAATAGACAATGCTGTTTGATTTCAAAAGATGGCATACGGTATTCTTCTGGGGGAAACAACGGAAATGTGGCACCTCCTCAGTGATGTGGAAGACGAGGGTTCAAGGGCATGACTGGTAGTGGCAATTTGTCAAAAGATAACCTCGACAGAGATGACTCCAACCGTTCTCTGTGGCTGAAGCCACGGTGTCTCTATAGATCTAGCTAGCTACTAGCTAGTCAGCACACAGAGCTACTGGTACCGGTACCGGTGCAATGCAGTCAAGTTGGCCGACTCCCGGACTAATGCTTAGCCTTAACCTTAAGCTGCGCTTTTTTCGAGAATGTCTTCTGTCGGGCCGGCATGGCTTCACATCAATCCCAATAATTGTAACCCAACAACAACAAAACCCAAAGAAGACCCACTTGGGCCACTCTGCATACTACTCGAGTAAAGAGACATCTCAACTCATCCATCTCCTCTTGACACTAGACTACAAGCAAGGAGACAAGCCACTGACGGTCTTAAGCACTACTACTACTGTATCTAGCTATCTATTTAATAGGAGAAGAAACGCACAAAGATGGACGAAGATCCAATTTCCGGAATGTCCCAAGAGGAAATCGATGAGTACAAAGAGGCCTTTGGAATGTTCGATATCAATGGAGATGGTGCGTAAGATGCAGTACGGTAGAGTACAGTGGTTGTCTTCGTTGTCGTTGTCGTTGTCGTTGTTGCGACATGGTTGCTGCTGAGGCAAGGGAAAATCTTGATGCTCTCAATTGGCATGGGACATGGGGTGGCTGCATTTCGTTCTCTAAAAGGGTTAAGGTTCATTATGGTTTTGTCAGTTTCCCCCACCTCCCTTGGTTTTCTGTCTTTTCTAATTTCTTATCTATCATTCATTATTTAGGAACCATTGAAATGACAGAACTAAAGCAAGTCATGTTGCAGTTGGGCCAGAATCCCGCCGAAGAAGATTTGATTGAAATGATGCGACTGGTCGATGTCAATGGTGACAATGAAATTGATTTTCAAGAGTTCTTGGTCATGATGACCATGCGTTCGGGGGAACGTGATACGGAGGCAGAATTGCGAGAGGCATTCAAGCTATTTGATCTCGATGGGAGTGGTACCATTAGTCGTGAAGAGCTCAAGACCTTGATGAAAAACCTGGGACAGGCCCTCACCGATGACGAGATCGATGCCATGATTGACGAAGTCGACATAAACCTGGATGGAGAAATTAGCTTTGATGAGTTCCAAGCGCTCATGGTAGGTTAAAAGAACAAATCATCAAACCAATCATATGGTGGAGGTTGATTATGGGCTGACTGCTAGTTTTCCCTTTTTTTGTGTTCTTTTACCGTTTCGTTAGCTCTCCTAGGAACACCGTACCGTATGCAAATTCAAGGCCGCTCTATGGTTGGGCAAGAGAGTGGAGATAGTTGTTTTGGGATCAGATGCACAAATAGTACATCAATTCGTTGGATGAAATGAACTGGGTTGGGGGCTAGTTGTGGTCGTGGCCTCGAGAACGAGGGCGCGGCTTTCCGATTGCTACAAAGACAAGACGCCGTGGATACATTCATATTTCAATTTAAAAAAAGAAAACAGGTTTCATCCTTTTGCAACCGGAGCATGGCTCGGCAAATGAAGAGCACTTTTGAGTACCGATTTCGTCCGTGGTCGTCGAACTCGTATCGTACTGGAAAGTCCCGTCGAGGCTGAGGGGCGACGTACGCTTCCAAACTGCATCTCGTTTACCTTTTGCTTGCTTCAAACCAAGATCCTGTCAGTTCTCCGGTGCATTGCAGCTGGTGTTGGCTGCTGCCTAGCTCGCCGTCTCCCCTTTCCATAGTAGGATATCGAGTGGTTCAACTAGCTAGCTAACAGTTGTAGTGCAAGCATATTCATGGCACAGAAAAAGCCGGATTGGCACGGCCCACGCCGTGGATGCTGCTGTACCGTACTTCCCCTCGTACTTTTGAGTTTCGAGGCTGAAGGTTTCGAGGCGAGTGCCCAGACAACAATTCACCATCAACTGCTGCAGGTCTAGAGGCTCAGCTGCGCAATACATTCGCACTATTTAGCTAGCCGTGGTGACTTCTACGAGTAGCAACATTGTGAGCTACTTTCCTTCTATCGTTGCGCAGGACACGTCTTCCTGCTGCGGTTGGCTGATGCTCAGTCGATTGAATCATTCTATTCCAGCACTCTTATGGCGTACGCTGTACCGGTCATCATGGGTTTTGCCACGGCTGGAGCCTTTGGATTGGCTTTGGCTGAAGCCGTGGAATCGGTTTTGGCCACGGGTTGTGCGGTGTAATAGCTTTTACTTTTGGCTGGAGGCATTGGATTGGCTTTGGCTGAAGCCGTGGAAGAATCGGTTTTAGCCACGGGTTGAGCGGTGTAATGGCTTTTACTTTTGGCTGGAGCCTTTGGATTGGCTTTGGCTGGAGCCGTCGAATGGGTTTTGGCCACGGCTGGAGTGGTGTAATGGCTTTTGGCTGGAGCCTTTGGACTGGCAAGTGCTGGAGCCTTGGAATGGGTTTTGGCTGGAGACCCTTGTGCATGTTCAAGACGGGACCAGGACCTTGCCCAACTTTGTCGCCGTGTTCAGCCGCAGGGACGTCTTCAACCTTGTTCACATCGTCAGTCAATGATTTCCCTCCAGCATCTTTGACTTCAGGAACATCAGCACCCTGCACTTCAGGAGTTGGATGACCAACTTCAATGTCAGGCGCCTTGACGCTTCCCTCTTGGTTTAGGGTCAAATCGTCCTCAAACAGGTTTTGAGCATTTGGAAGCGTCTGCCCCCTTATTCTCGGGACAAGAACAAGGGCACCATCAGCAGCTGCTGCAAGCGCAATATTTTCAGCTGTACCAACTTTATCAATAGCAACTTCACCATGAGACAAGGGAGGATCGTTGGCAACACTGCTGAGCATCTTGCAAGGCCATTGTTGGTCCGCCCCGGCCTCGAGAGTGACATCTGTTTTGCCTACATCAGTGTCTTTCGATGCTTCATCCTTGGGCATGGGAATCTCAGTAAAATGAATGTTTCTTCCTATAATGGGCTCTTCAGCCTGTGGCTCATCGTCTTCGTGACCATTGGGAGCTCTTGCGGGGTCTTTCTTTTGGGTGCAACGCGATCGAGACTCGGCGCTCGAGGAACGAGTTGATTCAGATTTCGAGTCACAAAGGTACCTACAAAAACAAAAACAAAAGCTTTAGTATCCCCCCAATGGACCGATCAACACTGTGTCACAGCTGATGCGCGGAGCAAGTGCATCCGGCCCAAGTGAGAACTTGGTGCCCTCATTGTCACATGCGTACCTATAGCTTTCAAAGTCATCATTCGACAGCTTCATGTAGTCCTCAAGAGTCGAGGGCTTGACAATGGTCGGCTTAACTGTGCCTGGCTTGGCATTCCTCGGCATACTACGAATCCAACTCGCAAATGTTTGGATTTTGTTCTTGTGTCCTATTTTCAATCCAAGCTTCTGTAAGTCTTTCTTGCTGAGTTGGGCCAGGTCCATTGGCGTGAAGATGGCGTTTTCATGGAGCGCCACGAACACATCGTAGAGGTCGTCAAGGTTTTCATAGTTGGGTCCTTGCAGTTGCAGGACGTTCTGGATGATGTGAAGGAGTGCCGGGTGCACAGCGAGGGACGCAACCGAAGGAGGGTTTTCCACCATGGTCAGTATTTTGGGCCGACGGTGAGAACGGTGGGAAAGAGATTGATAAGAGCACAAACTACCCACCGGGATAAATCTGTGGCTAAGACTAAAGTGGGCCAAGAATTTGGCTTTAGCTCCGTTTCTAGCCGATGGGTAGTCTGTGCTCTAACAGAATGTCTCCAAGAACTTGATTGAGGTGTCTCCAAAGATACGCTTTGCATCAAAACCTGAAACCAGAAACGAGATGTGTCATCCGTAGTTTATAGCTAGCATACTCTAGCCGGCTGGTACGTTTCGGACTTCGGCAACACAACCATTGACACCGTACTAGTACCTCGCTACGGCACCTACGAACTTTAGAAGTGTCACAGTCGATCCAGGTTCGGAAAACTCGGCGTCGTCTGGATAAGCAAGCAAGTCTATTGAAATATCTTGTTATCTAGATTAATTAATAAATAAGATTTCTATAGTACATCGATTCACCCCCACACAATGAATTCACAATTTTCGAGCCCAGATCTTAGTCTACGTTTCGTTTTCGGTACAACAATTGTCTCTTGCCCCTTTTGCATCGGCCTGTGCGAGTGTTTTGGCAAATAGCGTGGCAGTCTTGGAGAACTCTCGAGAAGCAGCTGCCAACGCATCGACGCGTTCTTCTGGCGTGACATTGTTGAGGTAACACAGCTGCTGAAGCTCTAGAATACCCCCAATGGTCTTGATGCGTTGCTCGGTAATGAGATCCGTGGCGAGTTCCTTTTCGAATCCTCGTACGGGCGACTCTGCCACACGTTCGGCGACCTGGGCTCGTTGTTCCTTGGTCATGCAAAAGTTTCCGTCGTCCATGACTTCTTCGGCACAATTGACCCACACGAGGAGAACCGAGTCCACTAGATCGGCACACGTGTTGGCATACAACTTGAGCAAGCTCGTTTGGCGTTCCATGTGAGCTCGACTTTCCTCGTTGGTCCACCAAATGTCGGTGCGGTCGTAGTCGATCTCAAACTCCTTCGAGGTCGTGCGCACTCGGGACTCATCGGCGGGATCTGGGATAAACTGGACTGTCTTAGTCACGAGTGTGCGCTGTTTCTTGGTGGGGCTCTTGAGGTCATCGCCATCGTCGACTTCTTCGTCTTCAGTGGAAACACTACTGGACACACTACTAGTAGTGCTGTTCGACAGCGGTCTCTTCTTGCCACTACCAGTAGAAGTACTACTAGTAGTCGTAGCATCCGTCAAGAGCACATGCTGCCTTGTCTTCAAGCTCAGCAGGTCTTGATCCTCTTCGTCACTCCCAGTAGACACAGTACTACATGTACTAGACACGTTCATGCTGGTTGCTTGCACCACTAGCGCCATGTTCATCTCACTTTGAAGTGATGGTAGAGGATAGGATTGGATAGGTTGGTATGATGGCTATTGACTACGATGTACTTGTTGTTGGCAGTGGAGGAGGTTGTTGTGACTGCTGCTGCTGCTGCTGCTGATGCTGATGCTTGGCTTTAAAAAATTTCGGTCCTTTTACTCTTTTGTTTTGCCGTGAGAATTAAAGAACCGGGATTGTGTTCCCCAAAAGCAAGGTGCGTGAACAGGTAAAGAATGTACTGCCGCTTACGTGGTGGTTTGTCATGAGAACACACTCGCTGACATTTTCACAGCAGTGTTCCCTTTCGAACAAGCTCACAAGGTGGACATAAGACAATCGATGCACTCCGAAACAGCCTTAAAAAGGTTGATACCCAGTATGACCTGTTGTTTGATAATTCCTGCCTACTTGGTTAACTCTTTGGATTTCTACCAAGACAGCTTTTCTCACCTTTCCATGTGGGAATGAATGGAAAAAGGCTTACCCGCAATAAATGAATTTCACCACTGGAAAAGTGAGGACAACCGCGTTAAAGTGGGGTTTAAAGAGTTTAACCACCAAAACTGATGCATAATAAATGCACACGTGAAGAGCAAATCTTAAAGCTTCTTTACGTGACCTTAATGGAGGTCCATTAATTCACCACTCTTCCTTCCTCGAAGATGCTTTCGGACAATCTTTCTTTTACTGCTCACTCAAGCGTTTGATAGACGATAGACGATAGACCATGCATGATAGGGCAATCAGCCTGATGAATCGAATCGAATCATTCGTCATACCACCGGAAGCCAGCAAGGTGGCCTGAAGAAGTTTCAAGGTCGCATTGTTGCAGTAAATACAGATGACTGTGCTACATGCTACATGGGCATCCAACGGTACCATGTCTAGCTAGCTATAGGTGTGTGTTGAAGCAACCACACGTTGTTTTATCTTCTTTTTGGGTTGGCTGCTTCCCAAGCAACTTGTAGATAGGCAATACTGCTGATTTCATCATTCAAAATTTGAAGGATCATTCACCTAGAATGCCAGTAGCTGGCTAGAGTAGGAATAAGCAAATTGAAACTGGCAGGCACATTGATTTTCCCCTCTTGACGGCTGCTAGACCGCGCCTTTGGTGCTGACGCATTGCATCAATTGCAGGGGCTGGCTAGCTAGCTAGGAGTACTAGCTAGTACTACTCATGAGAAAAGAACACAGAGTCAACTGTCAACTTTCTCCTTCTTCCAGTGTGTGGCGTTGTGCATTATGCTCCATACCCTTCAAAATAGAGAGCAACAACTGAGAAGACAGCTTGGTTAAATCCCATCTTGATGAAGTCATGAGGTCACGAGATCGTCAATCGTCAGCAGTATGTGGTGGTGACGTGGTGACTAGTCTAGCCAGTAATTCGAATGGGTCATCACAAACCAACACACGTGTACCAGCTCGTGTACAGTACCCATCTCGCAGCAAAAAGAAAAAGTTCCTGCATAATTCATGATTGTGATCATTCGCAACTAAGTCAACCCACTACCGCTGGCTGTAGACAGCAGCGAGCGACGAGTCGAGTGACAGTCCATAATAGCATCATAGCAGTCCACCACAGCATCACTGTCGAAGCCGGGCCAATCGATCAGCCCAAGGCATAACATGGCGACCACTGTGATGATCCGTTGCTTCCTCTTGGCTGGATTGGCGGTGGCCTTTGCCAAAGCTCAAGAGTCTTCTACTGTTACGGCTGCTGCAACCACCAACAGCACGGGTACCACGCTCCCATCAACACCGCTACCGGTACCTATTAATACCAGCAGCTATACCAGCATCCCTGTGATTGATGATCCCCATCTAGCAGGACAACATTTTCGAATCACTGCAGTAGAACACTCTGGATACCTTGACATCAAAGAGGATCCCGACACTGGAAAACTCAAATTCTCTGGCTATCTGATTGACATTCTTGAGGAATTGGCAAAACCTCACAGGGCCAACTTCACCTACGAATTGACAACTCCCAGTGGATTTGGGTCTCTTTGCAACCCTAGATTGACCCTGAATGAATCCTATCCAACCATATCAGACCACCCAGAGGCATTCCACCCTAGGTACCGTGAAAGCCCTGTGTGTGGTGAATCTGATGTCAATGATCGTCCACTGTCTCAATACTCAACAGACATGTATTGGGGAATCTTCTATATCACAGCAGAACGCCTCAAGGTCAACAAATTCACCATGCCTTATTCACCACCTGACAGTGCAACCATGGGGATGATGGGAACAGCCACTCATATCCACAGCATTCATGATCTGGCAGCTTCCAACAAAAAGCATGCTGTCTGTGCCTTTAGTGGAACAGCAAACTTTGATCTCTTACAGCTCACATTTCCTCAACTGGATATCCATGGACTGGATATTGTTTGGATGTCCTTTGCTGGTGACTACCATGCTGTGATGGAGAATGGCACTTGTGAGATCCTCATTGATTCCTATCCTCTCTTGAAACAAAGGGTACTCGAACTTTATAACGACAAGAAATGCCTAGCCAATGGGCTTCCCATTGGAATCATTGGAGAGCCATTGGAGTATGGCCCTCACGCTTTTGCTTTTGGGATACGAAATGATCTCCCAGATTCACTGGTACAAACTCTAAACTTTTGGATGGAAGCTCTCATGGCCTGTTTTCCACAAGACCCCAATGGGTACTGCCCCAATGGAGAAGGGAGCATCAGTCATCTCTTTGCCTTGCATGGGGGTATAGGAAATGAATGTGGATATGTTCAGTTTCCAGAGCTTGATCAGGGGGGGTTGCCTGTTGGTGCAATTGTTGCCATTGCACTTATCCCAGTATTGCTGGTGGTGGTAGTTGGAATGGTGTATCACATGCGCCAACTGAAGCAACAGGAAAAGCGAATGAAGAAGAGATTCATCCAACAACTAGCTCGAAATATTGACATTGGTGACAGTGCCAGACAAATATCAGCTCAAAAACTATCTGAAGCCTTCCAGCACATTGGTGGTCAAGAGGGCCTCATCACCAAGGCGGATCTGGCAAAATGGATGAATGACTTGCACCTGGACTTTCTGAGTGAGCAAGACTTTAACCGCCTTTGGGATACTATGGACATGGATGGGACTGGCTATGTGGATCCCATTGAATTCATTATTTTCCTGAATGCTTGTGAAAAGGAAGTCAAAGAAGTTCATGAGGAATGGGATCCTTTGCCAAAAACTGAAAAGAGAAAGCTGGCATTTCTTCGGTTGTCCAATATCAAGGAGCATGGAGAAGAGGAAGTGAAGAAAATGCAGCGACGGCATAACAGAGGTCGCATGTAGATGCCTGGCTGGTTTGGCAAAAGGAAATCCCCTGGGGGAATCTGGAGCCACAACATCTGTCTTTTCGGATTTGTCTCAGTTATGACGGATACCTAAAGGGAGGCCAAAAAACACATGGCATAGTCGTGCATATTGATAGTTTGATGCTTCGTACATATCTCATGTGTCCACATGAAAAACACCTGATTTTCTCGTTGACGCTTGGCCAGCTTCTTGCGATGGTGTCCTGTGGCATGGTTTATCAGCAAACCTGACCCACCTTTACAACCGGTAGGAGAAAATGACTTCATTCCCCATCGTTGTCCCTCTCTGCGACCGATATTTCGGTACAACAGGCACGGGTGTCCACGAAGCCGGAAGAAGCATATTCGTCTTTTTCGCTCCGTGGCTCAATACCTAGCCACAATCCGCCCAGGGTAATGGAAACGGAGATCCTGTTTGCTTCAACGAGCAAGTGGCAAAGGGAGAGTCAACGCGAGACGTAGTTTTGCGTGCACTGCAAAACCAGGATGCCGCAGGCATGCAGAGGCTTACGATATTTGGAACGGGTTGGTATAGTCTTCATTTTGGTTGGCTCTTAAGCACCAATGGACGCAAGTACTCGAGACAGCCAGCAGAGCACCAGATTTGTGCATACTTTCCCGAGGATAAAGGGCAGAAGATACAGTACTACTTGCTCGTGTATTGGCTCAAAGGAAACCATTCGGCTCAACTTGATCGTTGAGATCTTCTTTTGTCCGGGGGCATCCCGCAATCTTCAATGCAGCCATACTAGTACAGCAGAGAGCTCTTCGTGATTTTCTCCGAGCCATGGTGGAGCGAGTTAGCCAACGTATAGTAGCACTGGTATGCAATCGATCCTACTAGCTGCAATGACAGGTGGCGCTTCATGTTACCGTTTCCTGTTTAATCTGCCCTGTGTTTATAGCTAGCATTGTTTGCTGCATTCGTCAGCACTTGTTCTACCTGGGCCAAAACCTTCAGATTCCAACAATGATTCCTTGTCATTGCCAAGCACATGCAATCCCACTCCAGCCATGGCAGCAAGCAACGTTATCAATTTTCAGAAGCAACTGAAAGTGGTAGAGTTTGTGGTTTCTCTGGCTTAATAATAAACTGGCCGCTTCAATTCTCTGCACGTGCCAAGCAGACGATACCGGTACCAAAAGAGTTCCTCCTATGCCATACTAGTATGCCATACCTATGGTTTTCTTGCAAGTGCATCTTGCTTTCCGGCTCTGTCAGGAGCCAAATATTATCATAGATAGATTCTGGGTTTGGCAGTTTGGCACTTTGCGAACGTGGTGGCATTGAGCGTGACGGTATTGACCAACTCCCACAGCCACAAAGTACGGTATTGCCAGGCAGCGTAGCACGTGAACGCAGACAACTGCTGTACTAGCTAGCTAGTGAAACTTGGAGACTTATTGTAGGAGAAGTACCTTTACTTAACTTTGGCGGAAGCGGATACGAAGCATCAATGAATCTAAATGTCTCTGTTAAGCAAGACTTCCCAATGTCCAATGGTTTAATAGCCTAAAGGAGTAGATCTTACGATCTTACACGCCTATTCCAATTCTCTTTAATTCTCAGTTCGAGCCGAAGTCAATAATTGCGGCTCTCCTATGTCATTATTGTACCGGTGCTGGTACCGGTTCGAAGAACTGCGCTCAGCCAAGCAACATGTGTATGTTGTGTGCCGTGTGCTCACTTTTATTTGTTCGTCTTTCTTTTCAGAGGACTGCTAATAGTCCAAGCGCCCAGCTAAGCTAAGCCAAACACATTGCCTACCAGGAAGAAGAGTGAGTGAAGATCAGGAGGCAAGATGGTGTTTGTAGCTCGTACCGGTGCAGCCCGTGCTGGTGCTGCCCGTCGTCAGGCTGAAGGTGGCGCCAAGGAGAGACACAATCTGTTGAGTAAGCGGAGAGAGGCGCTTAGAGGAAGGGCGGAAGAGGGTAAGTACTACTAGTAGTAGGTCGACTTAAGTTTGTCTATGTTGGACTTAGGTCGACTTAAGATGGACTTAGGTCGACTTAAGCTTGTCTTAGGTCAACTGAAGCTTGTCTTTTATCTTACCCCTTCTTCCTTATGTTCTGTTTTGTTTTTTTGTAGTATTCTGCGACATGGGCTTGCCAGTCCACGGCGAGGAAGACTGGTTGCTAGAAGACGACATTTACGATTATTTGGAAGAAGTGCTGAATATCGAAGCCGAGAAAATCCAACCGGAAGCGGTTAGTCTGTTGCTGGACACGGCGCAGCGGCACATGAAACAAAAGGAAGGTTGGGTATTTGACGACAAGGACGAACCAGCGCTGTCCCGCGATGCCCTCATTGACGCCGTGGTCAAATATGGAGAATTCATCAAACGATTCGAACAAAAGGGAGAAGAAGATGTTTTTAAAAAGTACGACAAACAAGACGATGGAAATTTGAGCAGACGAGAATTGAGACACATGTTGCAAGATTACGAACGAAAAGCGACCCGATCCAAAAATGGACTTGTCATTACCTTTATGATTTATGAAACCGATCTAGATTGGATCATTGCACAAGTCGATGAAGATGGAAATGGAGAAATTGGAAGAGGAGAATTCTTACCGGCCATTGCGGCATGGGAAGAACTTGCTGAAGCTAGGTTGCAGCAACCACATTCCTGTTGTGTCATTCTCTAAACAACAATCCATTCAATGCAATGCAATTCAATTTTGGAGAGACTAAGAACACATGCATGATGCAGCCACGCTACTCTGCCCATTCCAGTTTTTTTAATCTTTCACAGCAAACCAACAAACAATTAGTATTTATCGAGGCAGGACAAGCTTGACCGTGTTCTGAACGGACAATAATATTTAAAATGCTGGAAACAATCAATCATGCAGACGGTGGTCACAAAACAACAACAAACAACCACAATAAAACGACAACGAACGAGATAATCAACAGGCAAGCGACAACCAGAGATTACCAATAGCAGTACATACATATTAGCAACAGAGGCTAAATGGCATACTCGAAAGAGCCATCACCACCCGTTCAGCAAACGTTGCTGGGAGTTGCAACTTGAAACGTAAAGTACCGTGTCGAGGACACGTCCTTGCTCTCGGTCATCAAGTATACTGCTCGTACTAGTAGCATGATTCATCATTCGTTACGCGATCGATCGTTACGTTGCGAACGCGAATCATGTCATTGTATGTCTTGTCTCGAGAGGGAAACCTGGGTCCATCTGTACGCTGCAGGATTGCAAGGGTCGAAATCGTACATCATGCATGCATCGAAAGCAACGTCCACCTGCATAATGAGATGAGATGAGATGAGATGAGATCTTCCAAATCCTCGTTTGTTTCAACGCACTCGCAAACTTGCGAACGTGAGTCGAATCCAACATGTTCATCGGAAGAACGAGATCTTCGAATGACTCGATTTCACTTCGGCTCGTCCATTCAAAGTAACGAGGGCAAGCAAGTTGGTTATGCTTCTGCTGGAACCCTCTCTCGTACTCTAAACTTGACCGTATCACGACGCTCGCTGGTACCGTACCAGTACCGAGCGAGAGGTGCGTGTACTGATACGTTCCTGAGGACTGCTGCCAGAGTGATTCGATTCAATCTCATCGCTTGCTGGCATGCATCTTCGGCTCGTCCATTCAAACGAGTGCGGCGAGTTGGTTATCCAGTCGTTCTCCTGGAGCCTTCTCTTTTGCTGTACTGTACCTGTTGCATTGTACCGCACGGTACGATTGGCCCGCAGACGCACCTCGTGGGTACACGTACTTGACCGTAACACGAGCCAGCGAGAGCTGCGTACGGGGCGTATCCTGCCTTTACTGTACGGTACCGGGTCCAGAATCGCTTGCTGGCATGCACGTGGGCCACGACAAAGATCCCCATGCAGCTTAGGACTCGACTCGACACGAGGGAAACGGACGCACAATCGAGACCGTGGGCTTCAACAATCTCTACAATTTGTCCAGCTGGATCTAGCTAGTAGCGGTGACGTGAGGGTGATAGCTACGGATGGAATTGAAAGGCAACAAGAAGTAGAGGCAACCGTAACGTACTGTAGGTGTATTTCTCTAGCTAGATTGTATTCGAATCTTAGTTTAGTTAGTTTATAAGAGGAGAAGCAAATCATTTACAAAAAGGTTATCATGATAAAGTCAAGGAAAGGCAAGGCAGTAAAAGTAGGTACAGTTGTGGGTGCTGCTTTGTTCTTTGTATGCGTTGGTAGGATACCGTATGATAGGATAGGTGCAGAAAGGAAGGAAGGAAGGAAGATGTATTTTTAAAATTGCTGAATGTGACTGACGAGAGCAAGTAAGTATATGTATGTCAGGTGAGGTCACTCTGTCTCGTGGCGGTCAGGTAGTTTGTTTGTGTACAGATTGGTAGGTAGGTAGTTGTGTTATGTGCATTGGTGTCGAAGACGAGTCATTGGTTCATCAGTGAGTGAGCAATGACGGGTGTCTCGTAGTAGTATTGAATTGGTGCATCCAATTGAATCCAATACCCCGAGAACGGTAGAAGGAAGGAAGGAGGAAAGGAACATTGGGGATAGTCAGCCTTGTCGTCGTCGCTGGCATTGCTTGTTTGAGAGTCTTCAGGGTGCAACCTAGCTTGGACTGGAATTACATGTCTGTTTTGCTTTGTGCACACGTATGGGCACGGTAGCTAGCTGGCTGGGCTTGCATTGTTTTGTTCAGTAAGCCGCCGCCATGGCATCTCCTTGTGCCATGGCCTTTGCAAACCTAGCTGAAGTACGACAGAGTGGTTGGCATTGCTCCCGAAGTAGCGCTGCTCGTTCGTGTGGATCCGCTACACAAAAATAGAGTTCGTGCTGCGCTTGGAGTACTTTACGCAGCACAATGCCGCGACGCTGCTTCATGGCTTTCAGGCAGTGTTTCTCGAGTCCTCGATGCGGAGTATCGTGAATGGGCAAGACGAGCTTATCGAGTACTTGCGTGTCCATGCACGGGGTCCTCCAGATCTGGAGCAATTGAGTCATGTAATTGGGACTCGCATCGGCAAAGTCTTGGACGCACTGTTTCTCCAATGCCGTGGCGTGGGCAATGTCGGCTTTGCTGTACCAAAGCGCCGCTTTTTCTTGATTGGTCTCGAAGGACCGTTCAATCTCCACGACAATCACATGGCGCAAGTCAAACTGGACTGAGCATCGTACTCTACTAGTACCTTCTTCTTCTTCACACGCACTAGCACTATCAGTACTAGTAGCAATGGTGCTGTCCGTGTCCGTACTGCACGTGTCCGTAGAAAACCGACGCTCCTGAGGGTACATGTCTTCCTGTTGCTCCGATCGAGTCTTGGCCAATTCGTCGAGAGTGGCAAAGTCCAATACGTCCATCTTGGTAGTGCTTGTAGTAATGGTAGTGTTAGTAGTGTTGTTAGTAGTGCTTGTAGTTGTGCTGTTGGTGCAGTGAGGAGATTTGATGGCTGAAGCGACAGGAGTCCCATTGCTGCCAGTGGCGGTTACTCCCGGACTTAAGCTTTGGAAACACATCTTGCTTGCTTCCTCTATCTTCTATAACTGAGCAGGGCAATAGACTACTAGTACTTGGCCTTCTTTGACCTATTCTTTGACTATCGCAGCAGATGGCGTTGATTAATGGCAGCTCCAAACCAAGCCAACAATGTTGGTGGTGCTACAGACGCACTTTGCAGCTGCTAAAACACTCAAGTCCCTTTCATGCTGTTTTCGTGCTTCAACCATGCGACCAAGTCCCGCTCATAACAAGCCCACTGCTTCTTTTCACTTAACTGACCAGAACCTTCGCAATGACGAACAAAAGATGAGGTCAGACCAAGCTTATGTCCTTTTGGAGCCATCGTGTCCCATCGGTTTCTCAAAAGGATCCTTGTTGGCTTCTATTGACCAATCAGAATTGATTTCATCAGCAGCTTTTGCCATCTGTACTCACAAACAGAACACCAATACCACACACAACCGGCGGTTCGCTCGAGTGCGCACTCCACTCACCAGACAAAACAGGTTCGCACGAGTACGTACTTCAACACCCAGGGCCTCAATACACGTCACCAAAAATACACCTCACTGTCACACCGACGACACGCAAGTTCGCACACGTACGCACAACAACACCGAGGCCTTATGATAGAAGGCAAAGTCCAAAAACGAACTACTAAGGTTGAGGACCAGAATAGATAGATAAGCCAGCACAGTAAATAGGTCGCTGTGAAGGCACAACCTTCCAATCTTTCTTGCACACAGAAGGTCAACCGAGCCATCGCTTTGTGGATTTACTCTTGTCCCGTCAGACTTTAGTTCTTGCATGGCTTTGTTGGTCGGCCTCCTTTAAGTTGAGATTTAGGGGGGGTCAGGCACCAGCGCGGGGGAGGGAAAAGAAAAAGAAAAGGGAGAGGGTTAGTGATTGAGGTTCCCGATTCCCACTTGGAGAGCAGGCAGGGCAAAGATCGAGTCATTGTGAGAGCATGCGAAGTGTTGAAAGAGGGGAAACGGCCATGACTCCAACACTAGCATAACTCTTTTCCCCTAAGACATCGAAGAACATGAAAGTACGTCAGGAAATACGTTTGAATTCTGCGATTCAAATCTCATCAACCGATACCTTCTTCCCAATCCTTCGCTCGCACCACACCCTCCCATAATTCAAAAATCGTGGACGAACAGCAACACCACCGATCTCCGATCAACAACAACACCACCAATCGTAACTGTTGACCATGAGGATCGCTACAAGCCCTTGCTTCTCCAAGTGGCTGCTAACTGTTAGTCATGCATACCCATTCAATGAGCTGAGGGCCACAAGGAATGGATTCACTTGCACATCATTGTGGAAGAACAAGAGCCCCACCTCACCAACTATCAGAAGTTTCATTGTTGGCCCACAAATGAAGTGCCGGATCTTGAGGAGTTGATATACCAAGGAGGATGCAAGCCTCTTCCCGTCTCTCCACGTCCTAAAACGGAACGCGTGGAAGGGTTTGTCTAGCCTGGATCTAGTAGCGTGGAAGTACTCCACGCTGGCTAAATATCTAGAGCGATGTTTCATCATCAAATAGTATGACTAGCGGGCATGAGAACCCTGTCTCAAATGACTATTCACGAGAGACTCAGTCATGAGTCGAACTCAAACCCTATCTAGGATCGAGTCGCGAATAAGGCTAAGAGCCGTGTATTGCACTTTGAAACATGGCCTCTTGTCCTCAATGGCAAGCACTACTCCATGGCTGAGATCTCTGATATGCAAGCTTCCAAGGTCTTCAGAGCTAGGTACTCCAAATACCTAAGGAAGCAGATGAGGTCACCAGAGACAATGAGGCAGAGGTTGCAGCAGTGGTTCTGCAGGTACAATGTGACAGCCAGTGATGGTAGCCAGCCAGGACAGGGCGACTGGATCCAGTCAAGAACTATACCTTGTTTACTCAAGACACCAAGCCAGCTGTAGAGAACTGTGTTGATAAAGCCATTCACTTGGCTGATCCACTGCCTTTGGAAGACATGTATGACACAATCCTTCCATCACCCAACTCCAAGCACAGCCTCCCAGAGTATCTGTCAAGGAGAGGAGAATCGAAACTGGAAGCATTCACGACAAGTTTGCCCATTTCGCCAATAGTGGCATAGAAGAAGTCTAGCAGATGCCCTCAACCTTGCTGGACCTGCCAGATACAACCTCAACATTCGACACAAGAGAGAGCCTTCCTGTCAAGAATCAGCCTGGAAGAAAGGAGGTCAATTCCAGGTGGATGGGAAAGGTTGTCCATACTGGAACCATTCAGAATTGGCTTTACCTCAATGAGCTAGCAGGGTGCTGGGTTATGACCATTCCCAAATGCAGAACCATTGCCACAAGACAACGGAGAGAGATTCTTTTCAGAGTCATTGTTGGATTCAAACCACAGAGACAAAAGTATGCTCCAAATGATTGTTGTCTTTGTGCAGCTTGCACTGGAGCCCACCGAGTCCACCAGCAATCGAGACACCACCTACACCAGCAATTGGTCCACCACCTCCAACAAACCACCAGCAATCCATCCACCCCCCTCAACAGAACCACCAGCAATCACTCCACCACAGCCACCTCCACCACCAACCCAAGCAGCTGTGGCACAAACAACAAACAATTACATGAGTAACATGCTTCAATTTCAACAACAACAGATTCATATGATGCAACTTGCCATGCAAATGAGGCAATTCCAACCAATACTGCCATCTCCTTTCCAGCAACCTCCTCCACCGAATGGCTGCTGTCACAGATACTGCCAGTGGTTGACTAACAGGAGAGGAAGACCACCCCATGATGCCACCTGTCAAACTCGATTGAATGGATACCTGACATAAGAACAGCAATAAATATTTAGGTACATCAATTCATTTCTTATGTAGCTATTAGCTAACTTACATTTCAGTTCCACAATGTACAGCAAATTGTGGTTGCAAGAATCGTGGTGGTCAAGGCTTTCAATGCATTCATCAACAAAAGTCTCGCACATCAAAGTCAAAATCTTGAAGGAAATGTTGCTGTTGTAGTCATACCAGTGCAACAATACCCATGCCAAGCATCCATAACAATCTGTCCTTGCTTGGAGTAGAAGTCATAGCTCTTGGCAATCGTTTCCCTCACTAACCAATAGATGCACTCAATGAAGATGTCCTTCCTTTGACATGCTTCTGGCCCGTCCAGCATTCCAGAAAGGGTGGAGAGAACATGGTGGTACCATTTTGGACTCTTCTGAAGACCCCACTCAAACATTGTAATCCATGATGCTTGTCATGTCTGGA